ACCTACCAACGTACTGAACATCAAAATGGTATACAATACCGACAGGTTGTACTACTTGGTGGGGGGTATTAAGTGCCACCCACTGATATTTTACGCTGTACTGAGCACTGCTTCCTGATACACGAGAAAGGTGTATTGCTCATAGCTGAGCAATGAAAGGAGAGGCAACGGGAATTTCCTTTGTAAATAGAAGCAGAAACTTAAAATTCCTAGTTAAGCCAGGTGAATCGCATTTCGGACAAATTAGGTCAATTTTGTCCCAGGATGCGACCCACACCCATCAAGAAGCATAATTAATAGGAGTCCTCAGGTTGTTCTTCAACTCTATACATCCTTGGTTAGGCCTCATTTAGATTATGCTGCACAGTTTTGGTCACCGTATTACAGAATGGATGTAAATTCTCTGGAAAATGTACAAAGGAGGATGACAAAGTTGATCCCATGTATCAGAAACCTTCCCTATGAGGATAGACTGAGGGCCCTGAATCTGCACTCTCTAGAAAGACGTAGAATTAGAGGGGATATGATTGAGGTGTATAAATGGAAGACAGGAATAAATAAAGGGGATGTAAATAGTGTGCTGAAAATATCTAGCCTAGACAGGACTCGCAGCAATGGTTTTAAGTTGGAAAAAATCAGATTCAGGAAGGATATAGGAAAGTACTGGTTTGGTAATAGAGTTGTGGATGAGTGGAACAAACTCCCAAGTACCGTTATAGAGGCCAGAACGTTGTGTAGCTTTAAAAATAGGTTGGATAAATACATGAGTAGATGTGGGTGGGTGTGAGTTAGACCTGATAGCTTGTGCTACCAGGTCGGTTGCCGTGTTCCTCCCTTAAGTCAATGTGACCTGACCTGACTAGGTTGGGTGCATTGGCTTAAGCCGGTAGGAGACTTGGACCTGCCTCGCATGGGCCAGTAGGCCTTCTGCAGTGTTCCATCGTTCTTATGTTCAAAGAAGTACGGACCGATAGCACTAATATCCCATACCATAAAAAATCTTTGAGAGGGTTCTAAGAAGCAAGATCGCCAACCACTTAGATACCCATCAATTACACAACCCAGGGCAACACGGGTTTAGAGCAGGTCGCTCCTGCCTGTCCCAGCTCCTGGATCACTATGACAAGGTCCTGGATGCAGTTGAGGATAAAGCAAAATACAGATGTAATATACACAGACTTTGCAAAAGCTTTCGACAAGTGTGACCATGGAGTAATAGCACACAAGATGCGTGATAAAGGAATAACAGGAAAAGTTGGTAGATGGATCTATGACTTCCTGACAAATAGAACACAAAGAGTAATAGTAAACAGAGTAAAGCCCCAGGTAGCCACGGTGAAAAGCTCTGTTCCGCAGGGCAAAGTACTGGCTCCCATTCTGTTCCTCATCCTCATTTCTGACATAGACAGAGATGTAAGCCATAGCTCCGTGTCTTCCTTTGTGGATGACACCCGGATTGCCATAGCAGTGACCTCCATCGAGGACACCGCAAGTCTCCAAGCAGACATCAACCAAATCTTCGAATGGGCCACTCAAAACAATATGCAGTTCAACGAGGAGAAATTTCAACTACTCAGATATGGAAAACTTGAGGAAATTAAAAATGCATATGACAAATTCTAACCATACAATAAAGCGAAAAAAGAAATGTGGAGGACCTGGGAGTGATAATATCAGAATATCTCGCCTTCAAAGACCACAACAATGTATCTACCTCATCGGCTAGGAAAAATGAGAGAATGGATAATGAGAACCTTCAAAACTAGGGACGCCAATCCCAAGATGACACTCTTCAAATCGCTTGTTCTCTCTAGGCTGGAATACTGCTGTACTCTAACGGCCCCCTTCAAGGCTGGCGACATTGCAGACCTGGCGAGTGTACAAAGAACTTTCACAGCACACATAAGTACGATGCTCCAGGTAAATTACTGGGAACGGTTGAAGGTCCTTGATCTATATTCCCTAGAACGCAGGCGAGAGAGATACATGATAACATACACTTAGAAGGTCCTGGAGGGATTGGCATCAAACCTGCACACGAAAATCACTCCATATGAAAACAAAAGACTCGGCAGGAGATGCAACATTCCCCCAATGAAAAGCAGAGGTGCCACGAGTACATTGAGAGACAACACAATAAGTGTCCGGGGCCCAAGACTGTTCAACTACCTCCCAGCATACATAAGGGGGATTACCAATAGACCCCTGGCTGTCGTCAAGAAGGCACTGGACAGGCACCTAAGGTCAGTACCTGACCAACCGGGCTGTGGCTCGTACGCCAGTTTGCGTGCGGCCGGCAGTAACAGCCTATTTGATCAGACCCTGATCCACCATGAGACTTGGTTTCAGACCGGGTCGCGGGGGCGTTGACCCCCGAAATCCTCTCCCGGTAAACACTTGTCGACTAACACCCAGGTACCCATTTTACTGATGAGTGAACAGGGACAGCAGGTATCTTATAGTAACACATCCTAATGTTTTCCATCCGTTGTCATAATCGTGTATGTATCTCTGAAAGGTTGAATGCTTGGACACTAAGATATATTGCTCCAGTGTATGGTCCTGTCTCTGTCCATACACTGCATTGTATGTCACTGACATCTCCATACAAACCGTAATGCTAGAAATACTTATAGACTAGCTTTAGTCTAGCAATAACAACATCTTGCAATCTACTAACTTTATTACTGTCTTTATTACTGGCTACAATCCCAACTATGGTGCAAATGTGAGAATCGTGAGAATGATGTACATAGCCTATGTTAGGTCCTTAATTGATTATGCTGCTCCCATGTTGATATTAGCTAGAGAAAGTTCTCTCCGACCCTTGGAGTTAATGCAAAATGAAGCTCTCAGGATTATTCTTGGCTGTCCCAGATCTACAAAAGTTCTTAACATGAGGAAGGAGCTTGGTATTTCTAGTATCAGTGATAGGATTGTTGAAATTAACACTGTACTCGGTATTAGAATGTTGAGAAACGAACCAGACACTGTCACAGTGAATCTTACTAAGTGTCTAGAGGTAAATACACACAGATCTAAATGGATTGTGAAAACGTGCAATTGCATTAAGTTTTATAACCTGCATGAACTGTATCACTGTAGGCAACAAGAGCATTTCACCCCTCCATGGAAGATGTGTTCATTTAATATCACATACCTACAAGTTCCTCCCAAGAAGCTCATTGCTAGTAATCCCTTCCTTAAATCTCTTGTTAGAGCAACTGCTCAAGAAGAAATTTCTCACCTAGCTGGTAGTAACAAGTTATCACAAGTTATATACACTGATGGATCTAAACAGGAGTCTTCTGGCAGGGCTGCATCTGCTCTTGTTGCCACCTCCCTAGTTAAGAACGATAATAAATTTGTTGAGTTAGGCATAAGAATTAACAACTGGGCGTCTACACTGCAAACTGAATTGTTTGCAATCCTAATGGCGCTAAAGCTAACCTATGACACTGAGCTTGACTCTATCATCATTACTGATTCTATGTCATCATTGAAGGCTCTTGGCTCATATAATGACTCCAACAACATGCTCATTGGAGAAGCCAGGTATAGATACTCAAAAATTAGGGACAAAGGAATTAATGTACAATTGCTATGGATCCCATCACACATTGGATTACTCCTTCATGATAAAGTTGATATGTTAGCCAAGAAGAGTATCGAGAAGGAGAATGTAGAATATAACTTTGGTATAACTGTGTCTAGCATTAGGAATAATATTAGGAGAGAAGAAAATAATGAAAATGATTGTTATAGGAATGCAGTTAGAAGCCTGAGTAGATCTATAACCCACTATGATAACATGAACGTAGATAAGTATGTTTATGGAGCAACTTGCAATGTGAACAGACTGACTGATGTTGTAGTGGCCAGGCTTAGGCTTGGTTACAAGTACTTCTGGCAGTTTGGGAGACACACAGATGATGATCAAACTAAATGTAAATTATGCGATCAGGCATATGGTCACTGTCTTGAACACTATGTGCTTAATTGTCCACTTATTGAGGAATACAGAGACATACAGTATAATAACCTATGTGACATGTCAAGATATCTTATTAATGAAAATAAGATACCAGATATACTAAGCAAATTTCCTAAATTTGCTTGTAACAGATAAGTGAACTATAGATATGTAGATATAAATCCATATGTATTCCTGTTAACCCTTTGGGGCCTAGTTCTTAGGCCTTTTGTGTATCCATATGCTCTCGCGCTACCGTCCACAGGATGGATATGGGGTGCACAATAAACTAGCCACTTCGGTGGCAAAATCTAAAAAAAAAAAAATCCATAGATATGTTTAACTTGACACATTTCATTATAATGGATATTCTAGTGCTTCTAGTTCCTTGTTTCCAATGGAAATAAGTAATTTTGACTTTTCTGGGTTATCCTAGGTAATCTACACATGTGTTGCTGTGTATGATAATTTATGTAACTATTTACGTGTACCTACACTTGAATAAACTTACTTATTTACTTATGTACTGATTTACTTTCCTCAGATTACAGTCACAGACCATACTGAGCATGGTTACTTCACTAGAAAGAAACATTAGTAATTTCAAACATAGAATTACTTTATATGGTTTTTGTACACAGTACAGTAAGTAATACAATCTCAAAAATAATATAAAAAATCTTGAGTCTCATTTCGAAGTTCCTTTCTGACAAGGCTCTATAAGCTTTATTTAGAAAGCCCAAAATTATACTAATCACCATTTTCTTTATTTAATGCTTATTTAGCTAATTCGTCAACTCTGTCATGTTTGAAGGCCTTGTGGATATAATGTGCTTAGCTTCATGCAAAAGCATCATACATTCAGGTCTCAAGCTATGTAGAGCAAATAATGAGGAAAAGAGTCTGTTACAACTACACTGTGTGCGGTCGTAGTTTCCACAAGCTTCAGAGAGCAACAATTAAGGTGGAAAATAGTTATAGATTCTAATAAACCTTTGTATTATAACACCAAAAGACCGATTTACAATGAACTTACAACATGCGGTTGGTGGGTTGGGTGTAGCCCGTCAACCCAACACTGAACATCCACTCACCTACACCACTCAAACTTATTGACAGGTGGTGTATCCTACTGCAGAATTATTATATATGTATATATATATTTTTTAAGGCTTTGTACACAACACGATTATATTTTTCACAACAGTCTTGAGGGAATAATGTTATGTGCACGTGCACATAACATGTAGACAACCTGAGTAACCAAAACCCCTCAAGGGAGGTTCATTGACGCTGGTGAGGGGCTTTTGATCTAGGGTATTGGATCTGTGCTCGGTTCCCTGAATCGAGCCTGAATACTTTCCATCCCCTCCCCCACATGCGCTGTATAATTCTATGGGTTTAGCGCTCCCCCATGATTATAATGAGTAACCAAATATCCACTGTGACCCCAATGGAAATAAGTCACTGACATTTCTTGGGTCAATGTAGGTAAATTACAAATGTTAAATTATGTATGATAATTGTACTTATCTGTACCTGTACCTAAATAAACTTGCTTTATTTCCCACCGGGGACTGATCTATATCAAGGACAATATTGGACATAAGTCACTGACTTTTCTTTAGGGTAATCCTAGGTAATTCACATATACGCTATTATGTATGATAATTTATGTATTACACAGATGCTCCCCTCAAGGGAGGTTCCTTGATGCTGGCGAGGGGCTCTTGCTCTAGGGAATTGGATGTGTGCTCCAGTTCCCTGAATTGAGACTGAATACTTTCTCCCATATGCCTGGAGTTTACCTGGAGAGAGTTTCGGGGGTCAACGCCCCCGCGGCCCGGTCTGTGACCAGGCCTCCTGGTGGATCAGTGCCTGATCAACCAGGCTGTTGCTGCTGGCTGCACGCAAACCAACGTACGAGCCACAGCCCGGCTGATCAGGAACTGACTTTAGGTGCTGTATAATCCTACGGGTTTAGCGCTTCCCTGTGTTTATAATAATAATACACATATGCTAGGTATGATAATTTATGTGACTATATTTACGTGTACCTGTACCTAAATAAACTTACTATGGAAAATAGGTTGATAGAGTTGCCATTTTGGTTTCTGTAATCCTGTTACTTGCACTACCTCTTATAGGATGAACATGGAGGTGTACAATAAACCTGCTACTAAACTAAACTAAACTAAACCTCACTCATCTATACACCGTATAGCGCTTTATTTGATTATAATAATAATCAGTATATAAGTAAGGAAGTAATTTATGTAAAGAAATAAAATTTGTTTAAGTTTATTCATGTACAGGTACACATAAATACAGTTACATAAATTATTATACATGGCAGCATATGTTTAGATTACCCAGGTTAACCCAAAAATAAGTCAGAGTGGCTTATTTCCATTGGGGCATTTGTAATATTTTAACCTTAAAAGTTAAAACAGCAAAGTAACTCAACTGTGTGTAAAGCAGTTACAATAAAAGGATATACAGAATAAGGTAAATTGAGTTTATTTACATTAACATTATTCAGAGGAGATGAGATCACAGTAATAGGTACATGAATGTGACAGTAATAGGTACATGTATATTAACTGTACAAGAAATCACTCTCATCCCTTTCTGTAACTTCATTCATTAGTTACCTTTTAACTGGTTTTTGCTATGACAGGCTTTGACATGTGCAGGCAGTCCATTCCAGTTTTATTGTTGTACAGTATATACGTACATTAGAGGTTTACTTTAGGTACCATTTTAGATATTAAAGTTCTTGATTGATGGTAATCACTTTAACCAAAGACCAGTAGCAATGACTGGTAGTCAAAGCACTTAAAATTATCATTTAAAATTATTATGGGAATTATCACTTAAAATTATCATGGGAAACATGCTTAATTCATAGGGGTCATGTAGCACCTTACCTGGAGTTTACCTGGAGTGGGTTTTGGGGGTCAATGCCCCCGTGGCTCAGTCTGAGACCAGGCCTCATGGTGGATCAGGGTCTGATCAACCAAGCTGTTACTGCTGCCCACACGCAAGCTGATGCACGAACCACAGCCCGGTTGGTCAGGTACCGACTTTAGGTGCCTGTCCCATGCCTTCTTAAAGACAGCCAGGGGTCTATTGGTAATTCCCCTTATGTATGCTGGGAGGCAGTTGAACAGTCTTGGGCCCCAGACACTTATTGTGTTGTCTCCCAGTGTACTCGTGGCGCCCCTGCTTTTCATCGAGGGAATGTTACATCTCCTGCGGTCTTATTCAAATTATTATTCCCTGAGGGATAGTAGCACAGGATAATTCAATGAAGTCAATCAGTGTGGTTTATTTCCTCTGTAGTCCTAGTACAGGTCGGCCATCACTAATCCAGCAATCGGTTATCCAGTTCCATCAGTAATCCGGCACTAATTTCATCCTGCATAATTTCATATTTTATCATTATACTGACTCAGATTTTGTCATTGTACTGACTCAGAAATTGTGCAGATGGTTGTAAATCCACAGCAGCAAGCCAGTGGAGGAGAAAGCAGTGATGAAAATGAGGAAGATGGAGCAGAAAGTCTCTACTGATAGGTTAATTAAGTGTATTCTAACCTAATCACTCTGTAATCCAGCAAACTCACTAATCCAGCATACTAAAGGTGCCAATGATGCCAGATTAGTGATGGCCAACCTGTATTAGGTCCTTCCCAGGATGCAACCTGCAATAGTTTACTAACTTCCAGGTATTTATTTACTGTTAGGTAGCAGTGGCAGTAGGTGTTAGGTGAGAGAAGATCCCAATGGAAGTAAGCCATACTGATTGACCTTATTGGGTTGTGTTAGGTGAACTCTGCATAATGTACATTGTTGTATGTCTAAAATATCAATTTGCTTAAGAAACATTGTACTGATTTATACTACTGTCTGTAATAATCTCTACGTATGTCCTTTCATAATCATATAATTCTAGACAGAGATGTAAGCCACAGCACTGTGTCCTCCTTTGCTGACACTATCAGAATTTGCATGAAAGTGTCATCCGTTGAGGATACTACGAGCGGACATTAACCAAGTCTTTCAAAGGGCCTCGGAAAACAATATGAAGTTCAACGAGGACAAGTTTCAATTACTTCACTATGGAAAATTCGTGGAAATGAAAACTGGGTTGGAGTATAAAACGAATTCCAACCACACAACAGAGTGAAAAACTAATGTGAAGGACATGAGAGTGATAATGTCATAGAATCTCACTTTCAAAGATCACAACAATGTGTCTTACCACATCTGCTAGGAAAATGGATAATGAGAATCTTCAGAACTAGGAATACCAAGCCAATGATGATTCTTTTCAAACTGCTTGCTGTCTTGAGGCTGGAGTACTGCTGTACACTAATGGACCCTTTCAAGGCAGGCAATATTGCAGACCTGGAGAATATGCAGAGAACTTTCATTGTATGTATAAATACAATAAAGCACCTAAATTACTGGGAATGGTTGAAGCCCCTTGACCTGTATTCCTTGGAATACAGTTGAGAAATGTACATGATAATATACACTTGGAAAATCCTAGAGGGACCAGCCCCAAATCTGCACATGGGAATCACTACCTATAAAAGCAAAAGACTTAGCAGGCAGTGCAACATCTCCCCAGTGTAAAGAAGGTTGTCATGAGTACACTAAAACACTAAGTGTCATGGGCCCAAGACTGTTCAACTTCCTCCTAGCATATATAAAGGGGATTACCAATAGACCCCTAGCTGTCTTCAAGAAGGAGCTGGACATTTACCTAAAGTTAGTGCCTGACCAGCCGGGGTGTATTTCATACATCAGTTTGTGTGAAGCTGGGAGTAACTGTCTTGTTGATCAGGCCCTGATCCACTACAAGGCCTGGTCATGGACCAGGTCATGGGTATACACTGATACCACCTCCCCTTGAATATTTTTTCTAGGCATTGCATATGGTAACTGGTTTATGAACTGAAACAGCTTCATTTTGCTGGGATTCTGCGATTTAGTTTGCATCAGCTTTGGTTTTTTATACTAGAATTTTATTTTTTGGCAGTTTTGAAGTGATTGATTTGGTTTTGACAGGTGTGAAAGATAAATGCCTACAAACAAACTATTGTCTAATGGTTTATTTGGTGTCACAGTTGTTATATAAGCACTCATCTAGGTGAGTGGTGTTTTAAGTGGTTATAAAATTAGGGTGTATTTATTACAAACCAGCTTTTATTTCAACATGAATTTTTAAATACACTTATGAGTAATTAATTTTATACATGGATTTTTTTATTATGATAAGTTGGATTTAATAAAATTAGGATGTATTTATTACAAACCAGCTGGAGGGAAACACTTTGTCTTAGGTAGTAGTAGTATCAGTATTATCTCATAGACCTATTTCTTACATGTGTTGGTAAGTTTTTATTTATGTTTTGTATGTAAGTATAAATTTTTACAGTGATCTTACAGAATACTTTATATACAAATTAATCTAGAATCACCCAATAGAATCAAACAAGTGTGACCTCAGGCCATGATATGAAACTAGAACTGGTAACCAATAAGTTATGTCACCATAACTTTCCTGCTTATATTTATAGTGAGTGACCTCACCTCTGTGTAAAGGTTATGTATGTCTTGTGTACTTCCAGACTTAACCATGGCTGGAGATCAGAAGCACGTGGAGTGTAAGATTGGCCCCTCAATCTTAAATGCTGACCTGTCAAACTTACATGAGGCCTGTATTAAGGTATGGTACCTGAATTCATACACATCAGTGCAGAAATATATAAAAAACAACAGGCAGATTGCTGAGAAATGGTTGGGCAGAATATTTTAACTTATAGTGATTGCATCTATTGTGTTAGAGTTTATATCAGGGTATATGAAGATGTTCATTTCAGTTTGTGTGAGTGGCTGGTGTTGAGCATAGAATCTTTTATTATATACAGGGCTGAATGATGTTTTTGATCCTAACACAGTGTATATAAATTATGATATAGTACTTTCTTCTTTGCTGAGTGTTTTTGGTTTTTCAAAAGCAGATTCTTTGTAGATCGCTATAAACATTGATTTTTATTTCAGTATGAATTTTTAAATGCACTAATGAATAATGAATTTTATAATGAATATTTGATTATGAAAAGCACTTACCTTTAATGTGTGACATACTTCAACATCCACTTAATTAGATACTCGTGAAATCTTAATTATGCATTCATAAATAACTCTCGGAACAGGTTGCATTCACTCTTATGGCAAGCCAGTCCTAAAACTATCACTGCCTTGCTATTTTTAGGATTAACTTTCCACAAGTATAAATCATTCCAGTTCCATGAGCTCCTAATCAAAGTCAGTATCTCACTGAGACTAAGATAGTCAGATGTGTGACTTTTACACAAAACTTAAAAATTACTAAGTTAACTATGTTGTCGGGTTCACTTGGTGGGCCCCTGCCTTCTGTTCCTGCTTCAAAAGTTTTTATTGTCTCTTATGTATTATTGTATTTATTGTTGTTGTGGTATGTTATAATTAGTTACTAGATGACAATGTAACCTAACTATTCATGGCCTAACCTAACTTAAATAATGTAAATAAAGGAGTTTTCTTAAAATGTTTTGTAAGAAATCAGCTTAGGCTTTAGGAAGACAGGTTGAATAATTAAATATTTTGTAATGGCAGATGATGGACTCTGGGGCTGACTATCTTCATCTGGATGTGATGGATGGACACTTTGTCCCAAACCTCACCTTTGGCCATCCTTTGGTTAAATGCCTACGGTCAAAAGTTCCTAAGGCATTTTTTGATATGCATATGATGGTGGCAAATCCTGAGAAGGTAAAGTGATTGAATAATGTCAGTTACACAATATTTTTTTTTAACATGCGGCCATCTCCCATCGAGGCACAGTGACCCAAGAAAGAAACGCTTTCACCATCATTTACACTATCATAGTGATAGTTACGTAATATATTGTTTATTATTGCTGTCTTAAATATTTGTACAGTGGAACCCCGAGTTTCGAACTTAATCTGTTCCAGGAGCTAGTTCTAAAGTCGAAACATTTGAATCTCAAAGCAATATTTCCTATAAGGAACAATGTAAATACAATTAATCTGTTTCAGAAACTCAAAAATATTCACAAAAAAATACATTTTATTGAGATTAATTATAGTTTTACATACAACAAACATACATAGTACAATTATTAATAGATAAATAAACATTTAAATAGACATAAAATAACATTTTTACTTACCTTTATTGAAGATTATTGATGGCATCTGGGAGATAGGGAGGAGGAGTGAGGGAGCACTTATTGTTTGGAAAGGGAATCCTCTTCCATAAAGACTTTAGGTAACAAGTCCTTATCTGGGGTTACTTCCCTTCTTTAAGATTTCCCTAAAATGGGACATGGTTCTGTCACTGAACTTGTTGCAGAGATGGCTTGTTTCAGCTTGCTTAGGGTGATATTTTTCAGCAAATGCCTGCACCCTATTCCACATTGCACAAATCTCTTTAATCTCTGAAGAAGGCACCATCCACCACCATCCACCAGCACCACCAGCACTACCATCCACCAGCACCACCAGCACTACCATCATCATCCACCACCACTACCATCTACCAGTACCATCCACCACCACCACCATCCACCAATACCATCCATCACCATCACCATTCACCAATGCCATCCACCACCACCACCATCCACTAATATCATCCACCATCCACCAATACCATCCACCACCACCACCCCCATCCACCAATACCATCCACCATCACCACCACCACTATCCACTACCACCATTACCACTACCATCCACCAGTACCATCACCACTATCCACTACCACCATTACCACCACCATCTGCCAATACCATCCACCATCACCACCACCACCATCTACCAATACCATCCACCACCATCATCTACCAATACCATCCACCACCATCATCTACCAATACCATCCACCACCATCATCTACCAATACCATCCACCACCATCATCCACCAATACCATCACCACCATTCACCACCACCACCATCCACCAGTACCATCCACCACCACCATCACCCCATCCACCAATACCATCCACCATCACCACCATCCACCACCACCACCATCCACCACCACCACCACCATCCACCACCACCACCATCCACCACCACCACCATCCACCACCACCACCATCCACCACCACCACCACCACCACCACCACCACCACCATCCACCACCATCCACCACCACCCACCACCACCACCATCCACCACCATCCACCACCATCCACCACCATCCACCACCACCACCACCATCCACCACCACCACCACCATCCACCACCATCCACCACCACCATCCACCACCATCCACCACCATCCACCACCATCAACACCACCACCATCCACCACCACCACCATCCACCACCATCCACCACCACACCACCACCACCACCATCCACCACCATCCACCACCACCCACCACCACCACCATCCACCACCATCCACCACCATCCACCACCATCCACCACCATCCACCATCCACCACCACCACCACCACCATCCACCACCACCACCCCATCCACCACCATCCACCACCATCCACCACCATCCACCACCATCCACCACCATCAACCACCACCATCCACCACCACCACCACCATCCACCACCACCACCACCATCCACCACCATCCACCACCATCCACCACCATCCACCACCATCCACCACCATCCACCACCATCAACCACCACCACCATCCACCACCACCACCATCCACCACCATCCACCACCACCACAATCCACCAATACCATCCACCACCACCACCATCCACTATCACCACCATGGTAACTTATTTCACAGTTGCACTTAATAAACAAGCACCAAACACAATGAATTAATAGTGAAATGTTTGAATGAGCATGCAAGTTAGTGTTCACTCAACACTACAACACTTGCATGGGGACGCGGGCAGGCGGACAGGTCTGGTACATGGTTCGAAACACGGGGCAAGTTTGATACTCGGGACAAAATTGGTTAAAAAAAAAAGGTCAAAACTCAAAGCGTTCGATAGTCGATGCATTTGAAATTCGGGGTTCCACTGTACAACTGTCTAATTAATTTCTGATTTCTTGTGGTATTTGGAATGCTAACATATGTGATAACATCATATTGTAATTTTTTATTTGTAAATCAATAAGGAGGTAGGGAATTGTAAAATGAAATAATTGTCAAATCTACACTCTTGCCTCTGTCCTACAGTCTATTAGCTCACTTCAAGTGTGTGTGTTGCTGTCTGTTACCATGGAGAAGTGGCCCTCCAGATTTAGATGGCTGTAACTTACCAAAGCTTGTCTAATTTCTACACAACAGAACACATATCTCAGTCTTTCATTTTATTCACCCTACATATTAAGTAAACTTTCTTTGGAAGCCATCTCATAGCCTGCCTTTTTTTTTTCTTTTTTTTTGCACTTTCTTTTTAACACACCAATCATCTTCCACACAGGCAGGGTGACCTGAAAAAGAAAGAATGCTTTAATAAAGTTTTTCTTCTTTTAACATTTCTTATACTTACCTGGTAAATAATGTGGATTTTTCAAAATTTATGTTTAAAAAATGGTTTTAGTGGAAAGAACTGTAATTATTTATACTTAAGTAAGCTCGAAGATTAACACTTGTCTCACACAGCCTTATACTTTATCCTTTAGTACTTTGATCTTATTTAAACATTTATTCTTACAGTTATCACACTTAATTTTTTATTTAATTGAATTTAGGTGTAATTGATAACCTTACATTTAAAGTGATTATGTATGAGTGAGGTGAAAGTGTTGAATGATGATGAAAGTATTTTCTTTTTGGGGTTTTTGTTTCTTTTTGGGTCATCTTGCCTTGGTGGGACATGGCCAACTTGTTGAAAAAAAAAATTAAAGTCATGCACAGTCCTCCTATTAAGAGTAAAAGAGTATTTTAGTGCTTGCAACTTTTTCAGTGGGTTGATCCGATGGCTGATGCGGGAGCTGACCAGTACACATTTCACATTGAAGCTACTGAAGATGCTCCTTCCTTGGCTCGCAAAATCAAAGAAGCAGGGATGAAGGTATGATTTTTTGTAACATATAGTAGATTATTATGTAATGGTACATGTAAATATTTTCTTGAATGACACCATGTCGAATGAAAGATCTGTGAATTGAATACCCAATGGGAAAATTAGGATTATTTTACCTAATGATGCTGTACCAGAAAGTTTTCTAAGAGGTTTATATAGCTAAATTTTGTTACTCAGGACAAATCAGGACCTGGTAATAATGAAAACTAAGTGTACACAGATAGTTTTACATGTGCTTGCATTAAGTGCTCAATACAATCATCCCAACAAATTTGTGCTGCTACACTAGATTTGCTGATTGTGATTATTCAGAGTTTTTACTGAAGGCTCTCTTGTGAATAATTTTATTTATTCTTTTTGCAATGTCCTTTAGAATTTTACTTGGTTCATGACCCTTAAATTGAAAATCTGTAATAGGATTATTGGCTTACTAGATTTCCACAGTTCAGCTCTTTTAAGGGGGAGGAGAATATAAAAATGTGCTCATCTTGGTGATATATTGTTGTACAGGTAAAAAACTTGGATGTTGTTTTAAAAAATTACACCAAAACACAACAAGTATCATTCTAGAGTGGAGATGTACAACATACAGTGCTTGTTTTTAAAATGTGCCATCCCCCCCTTTTCAAACCACGACCACAAAATAGTTGTTTCTTGCACTTTAGAACACTTCAGCCACCTAGGAAGTGATTAATATACAATGTTCAGGTTCCATGGGGTAAATATCTCCACAACTTGCATATGAGTGGGCTGATATTCTTCCTCTTGTAGATCTCTGTTTGGCATTGCTCAGAGGTTCTCCAAGGAGTTCAAGTCATGAAGCTATTGAACAAATTTTTTGGTGTGGCAAGGATCACTGTCTTGTATAAAAATCTTTGCACCACACTGCATGAAAGATTCAGCCAATGAATCACATTGCTATTCTAAGTGTGTTTTTTACTGTTAATGCTAGTGGAGATGTCCTTCTAGGCTTCCCGAGACTTGCTTTTGGTATGGTCATATCATGAACACTGTCCTCAAAGGAATTGACACAACGAGGTCCTCACTGAACACTCATGCATGAATCGGCTCTTCTATTTCCTTTGCTTGATGGCCTGCTCTCAGTAATTCAGAGATCTGTACAGTTGTCTTGTGTCAGTAACTTACTTGTGCCCATATTAATTCAGCAGCAACAGCCTGGTTGACCAGGCTAGCACCAGACAAGCCTGGCCCATGGCCAGTCTCCGGGAGTAGAAAGACTCCTAAAACTAATCAAAGGTAATGGCATCTTTAGTTAAAAATATCTAACAAACTGAACATTCAAGGCCACATGGTGCATGGGGACCATGGACGTAAATCCACCCACCACCAACCCTAGAAGGCATTTTGGACAAGCCAAAAAAAACAAAAAATAATAAAATATGTACATTTTCCTGGGTAGTGGTTGGGTAGACAGCAACCCCCAGGAGGTACTACCGCCCCTCCCAAGTGAGTGTAAAACGAAAGCCTTAATTTTTTTAATGATGGGGGATTGTGGTGTTTTGGGCATTCTCATAAACTGAAAAATTTTCAGTACATCTTGCTACTTTACTTACACTTGGGTCACATACACATACATGTACAGGCATATATTACAACACCCCCCGGGGGGTTTTTTTCTTCTTTTTCTTTTCTATTCTATTTCTTGTTTATTTTCTCTTACCTCCAGGGGGAAGTGGAATAAATTTTTCCCTCCGAACCCCTGCTGTTTAAGGGCGACAAAAATGCTGGGAGAAAGGGGGCTAGTAACCCTTCTCCTTAATATTACAAAATTTTAAAAGGGAAAACTTTCTTTTTCCCCTTTTTTGGGGCCACCCCCGCGGTGGGATAGGGGGCCGGTGTTTAAAGAAAGATGTACTTTTTAATCATTCTCATACATAAGAAATGCTTCCTTCGTGATTAAAATATTTATGATACATATTTAATTGTTCATTGCCCCAAATAGGTTTAGCTTATATTTTCTCAGATTGCAAAATACGTGGAACCCCGGGTTTTCACCTAATCCATTCCAAAGGGGTCAAATCTGAAATGGACGAAAAGAAGAAATATTTCCCATAAGAAATAATGTAAATCCAATTAATCCATTCCAGACACCCAAAAATTTTAACAAAAAATAAATTTTAGGAGAAAAACTATAGGTTGAGCCTTCACTGGTTAGCTTTCCCTGGGGTCACCTCAACTCTTCCACATCCCTTTCCACTCACATCCAAAACCCCCTGGACTTCCCCCAAAACCACAAAAAGGTTTCCCAACGGCATAGGGTTGTCAAGTTTACACTAATTTATATTAAGTTAGTAATAGAACTAGGCATTAAAGCATTAAAACACAATAAAAAGTAAAACACATGCACAATGCATTCATTACTTACTTTAAAATATTTGTAGTCTTAATGTAGGGCAAGAGGTGAGTAGTACTTATTTGTAGGAAGTCAGGTGTACCTTTGATATACCTTTGAAGAGTTTCGAGAGTTTATCTACTCTCTGAGCCCGGCGATGGGCCAGGCTCGTCTGGTGCTTGTCTGGTCAACCAGGCTGTTGCTGCTGGAGGTCTGCTGTGCCACATATCCATCACAGCCTGGTTGATCTGGCACCTGGTGAAGATATTTGTCCAGTGTCCTCTTGAAGGCCTCTACACTTGTTCCAGCAGTGTTTCTGATATCTTCTGGTAAGATGTTGAAAGTATGGGACACCGGATGTAGTATGAGTGTAGGTAGCCGTTAGGTAGCCTGGGCTACATAACTTTACAAAATTTAATACAGCCCAGAGCCATATTATTACCACCATCGACATACCATGTTCATTGAGTTTAATCGTTTCTAACAACTACCATTAGATTCCATCATAAACAGAGGGAGAAGTAATGAATAATTCATTCTGAGAATTGTAAACAAAAGTGTTATGTATTAAGGGGGATGACTGGGCCAACGCAGATTCATACATGTTTTCTCTGGTGGCTTTTTGGGAGCTCCGAGGAACGTAACCCTATTTTTCCCATAAGTTCTTCAGTTTGTCTAACACAGTTTTGCCTAACACAGGGTTTTCAGAAACGTAACTACTGTGTTAAACGACAGTCTGCTGTATCTATGTTTCGAGCACAGCTCCCTCAGATAGGCTGTGAATGGTAAACTTTGGCATAGATATGAGAGAATGGGTCTCTGTGGTGAGTGTGCACAATATAAAAAATCCTGCTCCCCTCAGTGCATGATGGGAAAAGAAAAACCTTGGGTTTGTGTTTAGTTTAAAATAGTGAATTTGAGGTGTTTTCTCCCAGGCCGGAAGTACCGGCAAATCCCTAATGAATGGTGTTTTCTCAGATTGTTTTTATGATTTTCTTGGTATCATTTGATAGAATGGAAGACATATTACTAAAATAAAAGAATATTTCAGGACCAGAAGTAGCTTGAAATTAGTCTCATTGTATTGGAAATATTTGATTTTTCATGATTTTCCTGAAATTGAATAAGGCTTCCTTGCACCCCTGGTGTGTTATACGCTTTTAATAGGTCTGATTCAGTTATTGGAATGCTGTAAACCATGATTAATCAAAATGGAAGGTAAGTGTAACACAGGAGAGGCCTGAGGCTGTGATTAATGAACAGTGCTTAGTGTTTTAATGCTTAGAATGTCTACATTGTTTATTTTGGACTCTATTTTTAAATTGAAATTTTTTAAATTTTGTGTAAAATTGACCAAATTACTGACTTCTGTGAACTTTATAGGGTAGTTGTAATAGTTGAATGAAGGTTTCTTGTGCTGAATTGAAAGAGCAGAATGCATACTAGTAAAATAGCTAAGAATTTGGTCAAATGGAGCAATGCAGTTGGCTCAAAATGGGCAAAATCTCTGATGCATAAATTGAGCCCAAATCGCTAACGTTGCATCTGTGTAATTCCATAAGTTTTCAATCAAATGTCGTATTTTTGGTGTCATTACCTTCAGAAAGGATTCCCTACCATTTCAGAAGATTTTTTTTTTTAAATGTGGAAACTGAGTGCAGTATTAATTTTTGGGTTTGAACAATGAAAGGGTTAATAAATAATTGGTTTTAATCTGTGATACTGTGTATTCAGTTTTTACATACGTAAATTTGTCTTTTATCTTTAGTAACATTGTTTTAACAGGTTGGCATAGGAATTAAACCAGGCACATCAGTAGATGCAGTAGTGCCTTACGCTGACTTGGCAGACATGATCCTTGTGATGACGGTAGAACCTGGCTTCGGAGGGCAGAAATTTATGAGCGATATGATGCCAAAAGTTAAATATCTTCGACAGAAGTTTCCTGACATGGATATAGAAGTGGATGGGGGTGTTGGACCTGCGACTATTGATGCCTGTGCTCAGGTATGTTTACTTTTTAATTTGGGTAGTCTCACCTTTTGTAAAACTTTTGCAGGTATGTATGTAGATTTCCAAAAGTTAAATTTGATGAGTATCAATCATTATTTATGTCCAAGTTTTCCTGTATTGTATGTTGTCTATGTCCATATCTTTAAAAATGTAGATCACCAACAGCCTGGCTGATTGAAGATTGGGCCACAATTAGCTGATGGAGAATTGAGCCTTCACCAGTCCTTGTGCTGGATGAACCACATGGTGTGTATAAATATGAGGTGCCAAAGAAAGATTTTGTTTGACATTCCTAGTTTTTATTAACCCTTTCAGGGTCGATCCCATTGTATTATGGCTTTGAAGCCGGTGTCGGTCCCATAGTACGACGTAGGTCTATGCGATAAGTGTGCACCATATAAAAAATCCTGCAGCACACAGTGTATAATGAGAAAAAAACTGCGACCTTGTTTTTGGTTTAAAACAGTGACTTTATGGTGTATTTTCATGTGGTTTTTATGGTTATATTCTCAGTTTCTTGGTCTTATTTGATAGAATCAAAGATATATTACAGAAATGGAGATGATTTTGACTGGTTTCAGGACTGAAAGTAGCTTGAAATTGAGCTCAAAGTAGCAGAAATGTTCAATTTTTGCCCATGTTCCAGAGTACGCAAATGACGTCACTTGTCCAATACACGTTCAACTGGCCAGTCTAATATGCATTTAGGAATGCACTGACATTATCGATACAATTATTTCAATAATGCAGTAGTCTTCATAAAAGTAAATATTTTTTGTATGAATGAAAATTCAAAATGGAAAGTGAGCATAATATAAGAGGGGCCTGGAGACATGACTAATGAACAGAGAAAATATTACTTTAGTGCCAGGAATGTCTGCAGTGTTCATTCTGGACCCTGTTTTGAAATTGGCATTTCTTGAATTTTGTGTGAAATTGGCCAAATTACCAATTTCTGATCACTTTATTGGGTAGTTTAAATAGCTGAATGGGCAGTTTCTTGTACTCAATCAATAGAATGGAAGACATACTAGCAAAATAGCAAAGAATTTGGTCAACTGGAACAATATAATTGGCCTAAAATCGGATGCAAAGTGGACGAAATTGCCGATGTGTAAATATCACTGATAGCAAAATTTGCGAAAGTGCAATTTTGTCATTTTCCATCAAATTTTGTACTTTTTGTTTTATTACCTTCAGAAAAAGATTCTTTACCATTTCATTAGAAAAAATAACTTTTTATTTATTTATTTATTTTTTTTTTTTTGGGGGGGGGGGGGGATTTTGCGACTCTGAGAGCAAGTTTGAGAGTAGGGGTCATGACCCTGAAAGGTTTAATGATTGTTTTTAAGTTTATACAAGTACCAGTAACAGTGCTCATATATGTAATAAGCAAATTGCTGTAGTGTGTAGATTTTCCAACCTTCTCAGTTTGTATTATTTAAAAATATGCTTAATGAATGAAATGTTTGAGGCTCTCTCTACTGTACATACAACCACTCCTCTTGTAAAATAAAAGATAATCACTTGAATGCTGTCTATCATTGCTTTACCTTGCCACTTTACTATTTTTTGTTCTCTGCCAATTTAGTGTTGCCCTATCCATAAGTTATGGTAATTACAGACTTGCATAATTATTTTGTTTTTAGTAGGCCAAAATTACTGACAAACATAAACTAATATGCATCAATTTTTAATTCTTGATAAGTATATTTTTGACATGCTTACTTTTTATTTATATTTAGGTTTTAACACTTGGTTAATTTAAAAGAGCACTAGTTACCTTATTGATTTCTGGTGTTTTACTCTTGCACCCATCTGTATTGACTGATCAAGCAGGCTGTTACTGCCTGCAGCCTTTAGCCCTACATAGCCATACAATACTTCCTTGAGAGAATTTTTCAGTTTCTTGAAGATTTTTACATTTGTTTCAGTAGCATTTCTTAATTTTTGATAGAAAGCTGAAAAGCCATTGACCTTGGGTGTTGATACAGTGTTCTCAGATTGCTTAAATCACCCCTGCTTTTCATTGGATTTGTTATACCCTTTTTCTATATTTCATACTCCAGTAAGTTATGGCAATGTGTAGATTAGGGACCTGGTCAATGAGTATTTTTATGTACAGTTCTATATAAGTATATATATTATCAGGTATCATTCCAGTCTCCAATAAACAGGCCTGTTGAATGTGAGTAGAGCCTGTGTAGTGTGAGCTGGTAGGTTTGCTACAGTGCAGCTCTCTTCTTGAGTAATGGTTAGATGTTAATAATGTCTATCCACCATGGGCCATTAAGCCTATAGCAGTGCTCCTCTGTTACTGTTTCTTATGTAATAGTTGGGGGTGAATTTGATGTGCCTAGTATGAGCAAGTAGACCACTGCTTTGCTCCTCCATTCTTATAGTTATCTAGTGTTTGGGCTGAATATTTCTGTGTTTGTTAAAAATACGTATCTTGAAGTTTGGTGCTATTTATACATTTTAAATATGCTTCTTTAAAATTTTTGGCTGAAATGTTTTCTTCATCAGAACCATTTTATCTTTTAAAATCTCAAAAAACTAAGGTAGATTTATGAATGAAAATATATGAAAAATTAAGAAATTTTTGGTGGTTGGGTCGATCTATAAATGGCATCGGGTTATAATTGAGTATATATAGTATATATGAGTAGATATAGTAGTTGTAGGTAGTAGGTTGGTAGACAGCAACCGCCCAGGGAGGTACTACTGTCCTGCCAAGTGAGTGAAAAACGAAAGCCTGTAATTGTTTTACATGATGGTAGGATTGCTGGTGTCCTTTTTTCTGTCTCATAAACATGCAAGATTTCAGGTATGTCTTGCTACTTCTACTTACACTTAGGTCACACTACACATACATGTGCAAGCGTATATATACACACATACCCCTCTGGGTTTTCTGCTATTTTCTTTCTAGTTCTTGTTTATTTCCTCTTATCTCCATGGGGAAGTGGAACAGAATTCTTCCTCCGTAAGCCATGCATGTTGTAAGAGGCGACTAAAATGCCAGGAGCAAGGGGCTAGTAACCCCTTCTCCTGTATAAATTACTAAATTTAAAAAAGAGAAACTTTTGCTTTTCTTTTTGGGCCACCCTGCCTTGGTGGGATACGGCCGGTTTGTTGAAAAAAAAATATAGTAGTTCTCTCTGTCTCTCTGTCTCTCTCTCTGTCTCTCTGTCTCTCTGTCTCTCTCTCTGTCTCTCTCTCTCTGTCTCTCTCTCTGCCTCTCTTTTTTTTTTTACACAGGGTTTGACAAGGTTAAGGGTCCCTAGCTTTATTGACAAGCTATTTACAGGTTAAGGATTCCTAACTTTATTGACAAGCTAAGAGCTGTTACCTACATCAGCTCACTTGAAAACATTTTTATTGTTATGAGACATACAAGTATTTTTATTGTTATGAAACATACAAGTATTTTTATTGTTATGAAACATGCAAGTATTTTTATTGTTATGAGACATGCAAGTAAGGAACAGGATGAAGTTGGAGCCATCTGTGGGCCAGCATTTTCATCTGATCAACTGACTTTATCTCGTTGACATCATAATGCTGTACGAATGTGTTCCATACTCGAGTCATCCTGCGGTTAAACGATTTCAGATGAAGTGATGTTCTAGAGAAGGGTACAGCCAGAGTAAAGTTGCTGCTTTCTGGCCGTCTTGTGGTATAGAAGCTTGCTTCACGCTGTCCCTGAAGTGGATCCAAGTGTGGTACTTTGATAATATTGGCCTTGTACATAACAGTAAGGCCACCCACATCCCTCCCGTGTTGAAGGCTCTGCTGAAATGACAAATCTATCCAGGATTGGTCCAGGCGAGAGATGAGACGTCTTGCTCTGTTCTCTACTCTGTCAAGCAGTCGCAGATGAGAGGGGGGCAGGCAAACCAAGAAAGTGGAGCATACTCAAGGTGTGAGCGTACTTGTGCCTTGTACAAAATCTTGCAACCCCAGCTGTCGAGCAGATGTGAGATACGGCGAAGTACTGTAAGCTTCCTGGCTGCCTTGTTTGCAAGATTTACAACGTGATTTTTCATGGTCAGTTTGGAGTCAAATTTCACCCCAAGGATATCAACTTCTTCTCCAGGTGCCAACACCCTCCCATTCATCCTTACTACTGCACCAGCATTACCATCATGGTGCCTAGAGACGATCATCATTTGCGTTTTCTCAGGTGCAAATGTTACTTGCCATCTATTTCCCCAAGCTGATATAGCTCTCAGCTGGTGATTGATGTAGCTTAGAGCAGCTGGCATTTCTTCTCTTGGATAAGTGAATGTCAGTGTACAGTCGTCTGCATATGCATGTGATTCTGGGATGAGATGAAGAAGGCCGTTGAAGTAGACCTTCCATACCAATGGTCCCAGCACGCTTCCTTGTGGAACACTTGCCCCAATAGGATGTCTTGCTGATTCCGTTCCATTGAGAACTACACTTAGAGATCTACCATGAAGGTAATCACTGAGGAGACATAGCATAGAGCCTGCAATTCCCAGTGCTTGAAGTTTTGCTAAGAGGCCCTGGTGCCACACCCGGTCGAAAGCGCCTGCAATGTCCAGTGCTACCACACAGCTGACTTTGGATTCATCCAGTGACTGGTGCCACTTAGTAGAGAGGTTTAACAACAGATCAGCAGCAGTGTAACCTTTACTGAAGCCATATTGACGATCACAAAGTAGTGAGTGATAGTCAAAAAACTCTCATTTGTCTTGAGATTATTGTCTCAAGGATCTTACCAGTGATTGACAGGAGTGACACTGATCTGTAGTTGCTGATTTCTACTCTGCTCTTCTTTTTGTGAACAGGGACTACATTTGCCTCTTTCCATAGAGAGGGCCATTTACACTGTACTAGGCAGTGCTGAAAGATGCGAGTTAGAGGTGCTGCTAGCTGGTCTGCATATCTTCTCAGCAATCTTTGGCTCAACTTGTCTGGGCCCACAGCCTTTTCTTGGTCAAGCGATTTAAGAAGGAAATGCACCTCCTCCTGCCTTATTGTCACCACTGACAGTTTTGACACAGTTCTTGCAGCTAGCCAAGGAGGGTCCCTTGCTGGTTCAGGAACTTGCATTTTAGTAGCAAAGTGTTCAGCAAAGAGGTCCGCCTTCTCTTGACTACTAATAGAGGTGGTCCCATCCTGCCGATTTAGAGGTGGAATGAGTTCATCAGGCAGATAACCTTGTCTGTCCTTGACCAGGGACCACCAGGTTTTGGAGCCTACCCTACCTGATGCTAGCTTTCTTTTAGTGTCCACCTCCCATTTAGCAATGGCCCACTTTTGAACGTCACCTATATGTCTACAGGCTTGCCTGTGCAAGTTCCTGTTATAGGTGGTAGGATGTCTCTTATACCTTCGCCATGCTTTGTACTTAGCAGTAGCAGCCTCTCTACAACGAAAGCCAAACCAAGGCTGATCCGTAGGCTTCGTCACATATTGCCGGTGAGGAATGTGTTCTTGTTGTAGATTAAGGATGTGTCCAGTGAAGGCTTTCACTTGGTTGTCAACATCCCCTTGGAGAAGAGCTTTCCAATCGGTGGTGGCGAGCTCAGAGCGAAGGGCTGGCCAATTACCTCTTTCCCATAGCCAGGTTGTGCGTGTGGACTCCTCACCTCGTTCTGTTGGGATCTTAAGTGTCGTAAAAGCAGCCTTGTGGTCAGACGATCCAACATAGCCGAGGGGTTGACAAGTGACTATGCCTTCTGCCAGATCACTCACTACTGGGTCAAGGGAGGAGCCAGAGACGTGAGTAGGGAAATCAACAAAGTTTCTCATGTAAAAACACTGCAAGAAGGTCATCAAAGTCCCTCTGTATAAGGTGCTGGTTGAGGTCACCAACAATTATGATATGTTGACAGTTGTGTTGTAGCAGAAGGGAGTCAATATTTTCCATTAGGAAGTTGATGGGATCTGCATGTTGCCACTGAGGTCTGTACATTGCACATGCTAGTACAGAGGTACTAGTGTTTATGCAGAGCTTGAAGAACATCATTTCAAGATGTGTAGGGGTGGCAACATCAATGTGCTGGGCATGAACACTTTTAGAGAAGCACACAGCAATACCTCCTCCTTGCCCTTGCCTGTCTCTTCTCGTCCATGAGGTGTAGCCAGCAGTTCTTGCAAAATTTTCTGGAGTCCCCCCCCCCCTCCCTCCCTCTCTCTCTCTCTCTCTCTCTCTCTCTCTCTCTCTCTCTCTCTCTCTCTCTCTCTCTCTCTCTCTCTCTCTCTCTCTCTCTCTCTCTCTCTCTGTCACTCTCTCTCTCTCTCTCTCTCTCTCTCCCCTTCTCTCTCTTTCTCTCTCTCTCTCTTTCTCTCTCTCTCTCTTTCTCTCTCTCTTTCTCCTCTCTTTCTCTCTCTCTCTCTTTCTCTTCTCTCTCTTTCTCTCTCTCTCTTTCTCTCTCTCTCTTTCTCTCTCTCTTTCTCTCTCTCTCTTTCCTCTCTCTCTCTTTTCTCTCTCTCTCTTTCTCCCCTTCTTCTCTCTCTCTCTCTCTTCTCTCTCTCTCTCTCTTCTCTCTCTCTCTTCTCTCTCTCTCTCTCTCTCTCTCTCTCTCTCTCTCTCTTTCTCTTTCTCTCTCTCTTTCTCTCTCTCTTTCTCTCTCTTTCTCTCTCTCTTTCTCTCTCTCTTCTCCTCTCTCTCTCTCTCTCTCTCTCCTCTTTCTCTCTCTTCTTTCTCTCTCTCTCTTCTCTCTCTCTCTCTCTCTCTCTCTCTCTCTCTTTCTCTCTCTCTCTCTCTCCTCTCTCTCACTACTCTCTACACACACACACACACACCACACACACACACACACACACACACACACACACACCACACACACACACACACACACACACTCACTCACTCACTCACTCACACTCACTTACACTCAGTGCCTTATGGCACTGAATAAACCATTTGATTTCAGTACTATCCAGGAATGTAATAATGATGATGATGACAATTTATTTAGTTTCTCTGTCCACAGACCAAATGTCCTTGACTTTTCAAATTTTTTAAAATAAATTTGGTTTACCACTTCGTTGATCAGGCTCTGATCCACCAGGAGGCCTGGTCACAGACCGGGCCGTGGGGGTGTTGACCCTCGGAACTCACTCCAGGTAAACTCTCCAGGTAAACTTCATCCTCCCCCTACATGAGGTTTTCAGTTAAACATCTCTGTGTTTAACCGAAAAATTAAACATCTCTTATGTTTAAATGAAAAGTTAAACATACACTCTGTTTAACATAAACATAAACTATGTCTAACTGAAAAGTTCAGGTAGAAAGAAGGTGAAGTGGTAAACCAAATTTATTTTAAACTGAAAAGCATAAGACACTAATATTTTTCCTATTTTTTACATGGAATTCCACCTTACTGAAGTGATTTGAAAGCTGAAGATCATAATTCTGTTCTTGTTATTTATGTTGGTGACTTTTAATTAAAATAAGAAATCAATTTATTGTCTGTAGGTACATCCCGTAAAATTCCACTAATTGAGGGGGGTATGTTGCTGAGCACCCTTGATAGGGGGAAAATCCATGAAAATATTCTTATGTATCGGAAATGGGGATGTATATTTATGTTATACGTTTTAAAAAATAATAAAATATGGGAGTCTTTTATCTGTAATGATGAGCTAGAGAAGCAGTCATTGTCTTAAAGGTGTTGGAAAGGAGATTGCTGAAGTATTCAGGAATGATTCTTCTAGTCTTATGTGGCTCTTGAGTCCTGTGTGAAAGTGGGTGTGGTAGTTGTCATAGTTACTCAGGTGTTTGGATAGGTTATGGCAGCAGCTGCTGTAGTGGTGGCAGGCATTGTGGATTGTGTGCTTGCTTGGCTGAAATCAGATTGTGTCAGTGTAGTTCATTGCACACAGAAATAGATTCTCTGGTTTTCTCTAAAATTTGGTGTCTGCTTCATCACTGGATTTGGCTGTAAAAGACTGTCCATTAATTTTTTGTAGGTGTGAGGAGGTGGAAGGTGACCTAAACAGTTTAGCCACACCTAAAATGGTGGCAGATAGCATACTCGAAGGCATGGTAGTTACTTGTACTAATACACTGTCCACAGTTTCATCCCTTCATACTAGTAATGTTGTTAACAATTTAATGGTTAATATCTTTAATATACTGTATTTGTTTGAGCACTCCAGAATCAGATCTGATTCACAGTTCCATTCAGTATTCTTCTTTTCTGACATAAATTCCTTGAATGAATGTCTTGCTTCCTGTTTTTTCTTTATTTTTTCCTTGCAACAGCTTGGGTCAAGACACTTAAATACTGCACATCTGTTTTCATTGCTTGAAGTAAACAAGTTTCCTACAGGTGTTCTATTTACTTAGCTTGAAATAAGGTTTTTATACTGTACTTCTATATATTTTGGCATATGCAAAAATCTATCCTTATGCTTCTGTAGATTATATTTTGTAAAGATGCTAACCCACATGCTTCTCACTAATCCACTATACTGAGGCTCCTTTTTCTAATATTTAATGCCATATTTCTGCTTTCCTCAAAATACTGAACAAATTATATTTTATTTTAGTACCTCTCTTACTCCTGAAGCTGTCTGCTTGTCTCTTTTACAATATATTGTACAATGAATTACTGTGATAGAATTTTGAACAAAGCAAACAGAAATGCCTGAGAACACATCTCAGGAAAATGTCCTGTTTGAAAATAAAAAGGGTTGTCTACTTTTTTTATTTAACAACCATGGTGAATGAAGAACTTCTTTGTCTCATGTCAATTTTAATTCTAAGCTTAAGGAATCTCATTACTGCTTCAAATAATTTTCTGTCACTTTTTGCACTCTAAGCATACCACAGTCTGTTTTGATCAACTCCATCATAAAACTTTTTTTTAATTAATAAATGCAGTGAATACCTTTTTTTTGTTTTCCAACACTTGCTAAACTATTGTTCTTCTCTCAACAAACAGGCCGTATCCCACCCAGGCAGGGTGGCCCAAAAAGAAAAACGAAAGTTTCTCTTTTTGGGCCTTGCTCCTGGCATGTTAGTCGCCTCTTACAACATGCATGGCTTACGGAGGAAGAATTCTGTTCCACTTCCCCATGGAGGCTAAACTATTTTTCTTTCTTTCAACACACTGGCCATATCCCACTATTGTTGTCATTTTAAAACCCTGAGCCATATAACCCTGCCCCTATTGAGACCATATGTTCCTCTTGTATTTTACCCTGTGATGTTTGTATTTCTCATTATTGTAGTGTAACTCTGCTGTATACTTTGCCTTCTATATTCAACCAAATAATTCCTCATTAATTCTTTCAGTTTATCTTGAAGCATTTTTTAATGTAATAAAATACTGAATCTTTCCAAGTCTGAAGAATTATAAAATAATGTATTTTTTTCATTGTTTTCAGGCTGGTGCAAACATGATTGTGTCTGGAAGTGCTGTTGTAAATGCTGAAGACCCTAAAACTGTCATTTCATTGTTGCGGCAATCTGTTGTGAAAGCTCTGTAAGAAACCGTTTACAGTATAGTCCTGATGCAAAGAATCCATATCTGTGACTGAGTCACAGGCATTTTTGGCACTGGCAGTGCCAAGCATTTTTGTTTAACTGTTCTTACTTTTATTTACAGTATTATTTTTGTAAAGTGATTGAGTTTTTTTTTTATAGGATTTTGTGTAGTTTTTTATTCCACTGGTTAGAGATAAATAGTATGATATGCTGGTTCAAGATCACTATTTTTTCCCTAGTCGTTAATGAATATTCACTGTATTAGCTTGTGGTAGTTCCTAAAACTATAAGTTATTTATGTATCTGTTAACATATGAATTATAAGAAAGCTATGCATTTAATAACTTAGGAAAAATGTATTTCTCCTTTCTTTCAACAAACCGGCCATATCCCACCAAGTCTGGGTGGCCCAAAAAGAAAAACAAAAGTTTATCTTTATAACTTTAGTAATGTATACAGGAGAAAGGGTTACTCTCCCCTTGCTTCCGGCATTTCAGTTGCCGCTTACGACACGCATGGCTTATGGAGGAATAATTCTATTCCACTTCCCCATGGAGATAAGCGGAAATAAACAAGAACAAGAACTAATAAGAAGATAGAAGAAAACTCAGAGGGGTGTGTATATATATGTTTGTACATGTACTTTTTTTTTTTCAACAAACTGGCCGTATCCCACCGAGGCAGGGTGGCCCAAAAAGAAAAGCAAAAGTTTCTCTTTGTAAATTTAGTAATCTATACAGGAGAAGGGGTTACTGGCCCCTTGCTCCCGGCATTTTAGTCGCCTCTTACAACACGCATGGCTTACGGAGGAAGAATTCTCTTCCACTTCCCCATGGAGATAAGAGGAAATAAACAAGAACAAGAACTAGAAAGAAAATATGTAGAAGAAAACCCAAAGGAGTGTGTACATATATGCTTCTACATGTATGTGTAGTGTGACCTAAGTGTAAGTAGAAGTAGCAAGACGTACCTGAAATCTTGCATGTTTATGAGACAGAGAAAAGACACCAACAATCCTACCATCATGTAAAACAATTGCAGGCTTCCATTTTACACTCACTTGGCAGGATAGTAGTACCTCGCTGGGCGGTTGCTGTTTAACAACCTTGGGCAAAATGTATTTACTTACGCTAAATAATTGTAACATAATTTTGTTGGAGATTTATAAAAAAATTATAAATTTACTTATAAAATATTTAAAATAATAATAGTTTACAAATGTTCAATTTAGATTTGAAGTAAGGGTGAACATAATCAGGTTAGAATCAAAGGTAACAAAAACCAAATGTACTGCAGTAACAGTTCTTGAAATCACATTGATTTTAAATTTTGTAATAAAAATATGATATCCTTAGGATGAATTTATTATGATTAATACCCTTTGCAATATAGATTAACGTGATGTTTAAATTTAATTAATATATCTTTTGATAATGGACAAATATTGTATGCCTTGGTGGGAGACTGCCGAAATGTTAAAAAAAAAAAATGTAATACTTGCAAATTCAGTTGTTCTTGGTGTTATTTCTAACTCCTTGAGAGGTAATTGAGGGTTTTTCACATTACTCCTTTTTTTTCCTGATCACTAATTGTTTCCCACAAAGGCTGAGCAACATAAAAAGAAGGAAACATTCACATGTATTCATTATTTGATATGTGATTTTGTTCATTTTTCTTAAATTTCTGATTAAAATTTGAAATGCATTTGTTATCTGAAAGAAAGCTGTTTTTATGTTTTAAATATTTTCACTGGTACACTGTGATTAATTGTTACTTTTGAACTCATGGCCTACATGAAGAGTACTGACTGAACAAATTATGAATGCTTCTGTAAATATTTTTAGATTGTTTCCCTAACAAGTTTCAAATTAAAACATTATTTCAAACCTTTTTCAACACCCATTAAACTGATAAAATCTTTTCAAGAGCCACTGAAATGATTAAAGCAAATGCTGTTGTTACACATCATCATTTAAGGTGCAGGTTTAAGTTTGTTCAAATGACTTGATTTTGTACAAGAGAACACAGTGTTTGTTTTCAGTAGCAAGAAAAATGTAAAAACATGAAATGTAATTTATCAGTAACCACCAAATCAATACCATAATTGCTCAGTGTGATTACTTGATGGAATGGACCATATTGAAATTTACTTTAGGTATCCTAAGTTTTTAGGTATCAAAGTTTTTTGACATAAGAGAAATATTAACAGATAGCAAAAATGTATCCTGGAACATCTCTGTACCACTGAAATCTGCTTAGGTCTAGGCACAGTCTTTAACAGAAAGGCACAGAGAGGCACTTCTCTGTCCAGGTTAATTGCTATTTTCCTGACTTCACCCAGGTTGAAGGTGTCCCTCAAGGCTGTGTTCTTAGCACTACCCTCTTTCTGCTTCCTATTTAAGACCTTACCTCTGTTCTTCCTTCCAGTATTTAGTCATCTCTTGGTCAACAGTTTTGCTGTAGCTTGTGCAGGCATGCACTGTACAAACTACAGCTGCACAAGCTATTGATTGTGCTTCCCTCTTTGACACCTCTCATGAGTTTAAATTTTCTGTTCTTAATTAAAACTCATCAGTTTACTTTCAGAAGATGTCCTGTTTTCCCTCAAACAGTTCAGTACCTGTATAGTTCCCATATCTCTGAACAGGATACAGCTAAATTTCTCAGCCTTCCGTTTGATTGCTGACTCTCCAGGAAGCCTCTTATAACCTTGAAAACTGCTTATCATAGCTGCTTGAGCCTCCTTAAAACTCTAGCTCACCTTTCTTGATGGAGCTGATATACACTCCCTTCTTCACCTTCATTCCATCCTAATCTTATTTAAACTAAGCTTCAATGACCACCTATACACTTCATCTTTCCCTATTTGTCATAATGGGTTATGTTTGTGTCTAGATTTTCTGTTCATCCTCCAATTGTGAGCCTATATGAAGAATTAACATATCATCTTAGTAAGATTGGCACAATGACCATGGTCTTTGTTATTTTTGTCTGTTCTCACGAAATTCATGATTCCCCCTATATGGAATGGTAAAGGACGTTAGAAAGGCTTCTCTGTTTGTCACCCTAATTTACTCTGCCCTTTTCGTCACTATGTTCATTCTCTCTTGGCTTCCCTTAATTTACCTCCCTTCTAGGTCCACCCTGCATCTTACTTTCCCCTCCCTCCTTAGAAAGTCCCAATTATTCGTGCTGACTCTTCCTTATTTCCAAGTGCGAAAGTTCACTTGCCTTCATTAACAACACTCATTCTTAATCATTTCCATTATCAGTCTCATGTTATTGCAGTGTACACTGATGGTTCTAAATCCCCTGATGGTGACAGTTTTTCCTGACAGAATCATCCAAGGTCATTTACTAGACTCAGCCAGCTTTTTCATATTCATCCTTTCACACATTGCTACCTGTTGCACTGTATGACATTTCCGGGTTTGGCACTTAATTTTATTATATTATTATTATAGTAATTTAAATAGTATGTGCACCTTTTACTGCCCAAAGCCCAAAAATTAAAATTGTTCTCATTGTCCATATTAAAAAAAAAAAATTCTTATCAATTAAACAAGTACATTTTTATGATGGTAATAAAACAAAAAAATTCCTGTTAGTATTTGCCAAGATAAAGTGCTGCACACTTAACATTTTTCTGTTTTTATATTTTCTTTGAGATTTTCTAATTTTTTACATTTTTCCAGTAATTTTTGTGGCCCATGTGACCCATATCATGCACAATATACACCCACCCACCTGTTGCATGCAACACAATATCTGCACTAATAGTGTCATATGTAAATTGTTTACAGAACATGTTTACACAACAACACACACACACACAGTTACAAATGTTTCACATTACTATTGTTCTAGCATTCATGTACACACATGCTAGCACTGGTCATGTTCCCAGAGCTGTGGAAGTCCTTGAAACATGACTCTATACACAGTGGTGTTTACTCACTTTACATAAAGTATCTCTCTCGGCTTTGGCGGGGCCTTTTGTGCACGGACATAGCATCTCCTCTGAGCCTATTTCTTCTTTTCTGTAGCAGGAAGTGTTGTTAGGAAGTGATCACCAAACTTCAAACAAAAGGGTATTCGGTGATCATCTGGCAGCGATATTTCCAGCATTCTGAGTGTCACTTTTGGTCATTATATGTTTGAAACCAAAGAACTCATCAATGGTTCCATAATTCTCATTGTTAGAGCTGTCACTGGGGAATAAAACTCGTTCAGTTCACAGTGCGACTGCAGAGGCTCCAATTTTTTTGTATACTGTTCACACTACCACACAAACCTGTTCTTTCCTATGTAGGCTTATCAGGTCTCTCGCACCAAATTTGAAGCCACTAGAATTTTTGCGTAAAACTATTTGAGGGACTCTGGCATCAGTAACAGATCTACATGACAGCCACTGAAAGAGTTAATTAATGATTGGATAAGATATTAAGCAGTCTGAAATATATGATTTTAGTGGAATTTTTATAAATGTTTATTATAAAAATTTTAGTATGTAGAATGTATTTGCTGTAAATTATTGGTTTAGTTGGAATGTTAGTTAGATTCCCATCAGATATGTAAAACAAAGCTCATCTTGCTGAAATTTAGTTACTATATTCTATGTTTGTTAAGTAATATTACCAGGCTTCTTGTATTTTTCTATTGGTAAAAAAATAATGGTATCTATCATTAATATTACATAAGATAGAATAGTCAAACCGTTGGCAAGTGTCTTGCATCCTGTGATCTCTGTACCCAGTAATAGTTGGTGACCTGAATGCCTGTTAGTCGAAGGATAATGTTCAGGGGGTTGATGGTTAGTCTGTATATTCATTGGCAAGTTGTCCCAGCCTTCATGTGTTGTTCCTTGATGCTGGAACATACAGCTTGCTACATTGAGTATCGATTATTATTAGCAGCAACTTTCATATTAAACTGAACTCTAAGTGGGTAACATTACAGCTGAATAACCAAGACTCAGAAGGACTAATAAATAGCTTGTGATAAAAGCCATGACCCGTAAAGTATTTCTTCATGCTTTTGGTAGTTTAATATTGACCAGGCATTTAGTAATGTTAAGGTGGCTTGACATGCAAAAATATGTATTAGTGATAACTTGCTTTTTTTAGGCGTAATATATAAAAACAGAATCATTATACAGAGTAAATTTGCCATGCAAGCCTAATCAAAGGTAGTTAGGAAATCTAATATGTGAATTTATATTTGAGAGGATAATAGTACTTGTATAATAATTTATTGAACCAGTGCTAAAACATTCCATTCCTAACTTCAGTTTTTATGCTGTATTTGTTGAAAGAACATTAAAATAAAATTTTATTTATTTTCAGTTTTTCAATATTCCTGAAAGCATTTTTTTTTTTTTTAACATACAGGTTGTCTCCCACAGAGGCAGGGGAACTCAAAAAGATTAAACCTTATAAAGCTTTTCTTCTTTTTACATTTAGTAATTTATACATTTAGTAATTTATACATCCTGAAAGCACGTACAATAATTAACCCCGAAGCCCTGTTCATTTATCATGTATGGGCTCCCCAAGGGAGGTTCCTTGATGCTGGCAAGGGGCTCTTGATCTAGGGAGTTGGATATGTGCTCCAGTTCCCTGGATTGAGCCTGAATACCTTCCATTCCTCCCCGTATGCACTGTATAATCCTACGGGTTTAGCGCTTCCCCTTGATTGTAATAATGATGCATGGGCACTCATACATGTATACTCCTTGTTTCTGCATGCCTGGAAGATGAGTCCGTGGTGATGGCTCCTCAATGAATAACATAACTGAAGAGTTAGAGGTAAAATAGGAGGTTTAGTGCTGAATCAGTTGGCTGGTGTTTCATCACTCCTCTGCATGGTGGTTAGCTGCATCTTAATGTGCCTGTATTACCACTGTGCAGACTCTTGGTTCCTGGGTTTTTATTCATAATTCATTTTGTGGATAGTGGACCTCCATGTAAAGTGCTCAGTGGGTGGTGTAGCACATGGCCTGATAACTGTCTGTATAATACTTGGCCAAGGCCAAGCAAGCACTGAAGGGCAGGGCCAGATTTATAAGGGGGGCAACTGCCTGGGTCCCCTTGCCAGAGGGGCCCCCAGACAAAGGACTTCCTTTATAACAAAATGTAATAATAAAAAAAATGGTTTAATTAATAAAAGCAATTAACAAATAAAGTGTGTGGGGGGCATCAGAAAATAGAAAGAAAGGGTGCCCTCCACCCCCTCTACATTTGAATAACTTGTCTTGACTTAACTATTTTTGGTAAGCGTAAGTTTAGAGGTAAATGACCAGATCATGTGGTCAGAGGTGACCAGGGTGTGCACGCATGTGTGTGTGTGCGTGTCTGTGTGGGAGGTAGCTATTATGTGTAAGGCTTTGATTGGCTATGTCGACCTCATAAGGGCTATTTCTGGTTAGTGTCAGTGTAAAGGTCAATGACCAATGAGTCAATTGGTGGCCTGGGGCTATACACGTGTCTGTGTGTGTTTATTGACTACTTTTAGTGCTAGCAAGTGGTGTGGGGCAGTGGTGTCTGTGTTTTAGATCTGTGTATTGCTCAAAAAGGTTTGTGATATATCATTGTTTTGCAATTACACCTTACACATGCATACACACACACACACAAACACACATACACACACATACACACACAAACACACATACACACACATACACACACACGGCAGGAGCTCGGACTCGACCCCCGCAACCTCAACTAGGTGAGTACACACGCACACACACATGCATATTCTTGGACTGCAAGAAGGCGTTTGACACAGTTCCACACAAGAGATTAGTGCAAAAACTGGAGGACCAAGCAGGGATAACAGGGAAGGCACTACAATGGATCAGGGAATACTTGTCAGGAAGACAGCAGCGAGTCATGGTACGTGGTGAGGTGTCAAAGTGGGCACCTGTGACCAGCGGGGTCCCACAGGGGTCAGTCCTAGGACCAGTGCTGTTTCTGTTATTTGTGAACGACATGATGGAAGGAATAGACTCTGAGGTGTCCCTGTTTGCAGATGACGTGAAGTTGATGAGAAGAATTCACTCGATCGAAGACCAGGCAGAACTACAAAGGGATCTGGACAGGCTGCAGACCTGGTCCAGCAATTGGCTCCTGGAGTTCAATCCCACCAAGTGCAAAGTCATGAAGATTGGGGAAGGGCAAAGAAGACCGCAGACGGAGTACAGTCTAGGGGGCCAGAGACTACAAACCTCACTCAAGGAAAAAGATCTTGGGGTGAGTATAACACCAGGCATATCTCCTGAAGCGCACATCAACCAAATAATGGCTGCAGCATATGGGCGCCTAGCAAACCTCAGAACAGCATTCCGACATCTTAATAAGGAATCGTTCAGGACCCTGTACACCGTGTACGTTAGGCCCATATTGGGGTACCACTAGCAAGTTTTTTGGGCCCATTGTAGCTTATTTCACAGTCCAACAAGCACTAAACACAATGAAATTATCGTAAAATGTTTGAATGAGAGCGCAAGTTAGTGTTCACTCAAGCATCAACAAAACCAGACTGGCTCACAGCGCCTACGTGGGTATGTGGACAGAGCGGGCTGCCGGACAGGTCCGGCACCCGGCAGGTCGAAAATAGGGGCGAGTTTAATAATAGGGACAAAGTTGGTTGGAAAAAAGGGTTCTATTTTCGAAGAGTTCAATAAGCGATACATTTGAAATTTGAGGTTACACTGTACATGTGTGTGTGTGTGTGTGTGTGTGTGTGTGTGTGATTGTCATTAAATGTCAAAAAATCTGAATATTTTTTTTTTTTTTTTTAGAAGACCTAGTATGCAACGGAAAATTCAGTTATCAGGAGCTCAGAAAAGAAAGATTTCCAAAGAATCAAGCAAAATAAATGCTGCGGTCTTGGTAGACAAAATACCTTACAGAATTTTTCTCTGCTTCTGTAGTGGAAAACATAGAAGCTACTAATGAAGAACCAGTACCACTACCAGATAATGTTTCTTCTGAGGACCCATCTGCATTCCCAAGTACATCTGCAGGAAATAAAAAACATACCAAATCAAGATAGTAAAGGTGATGAATCACCACCTGGAGTTTACCTAGAGAGAGTTCCGGGGGGTCAACGCCCCCGCGGCCCGGTGTGACCAGGCCTCATGGTGGATCAGAGCCTGATCAACCAGGCTGTTACTGCTGGCTGCACGCAATCCAACGTACGAGCCACAGCCCGGCTGGTCAGGTATCGACTTTAGGTGCTTGTCCAGTGCCTGCTTGAAGACAGCCAGGGGTCTATTGGTAATCCCCCTTATGTATGCTGGGAGGCAGTTGAACAGTTCTACAGATACTTGTTTAAACATGGACAGTGAAGCCCCACCATGTGATTCAGACCCAACCATGTGGTTTCCTTTCAGAGAAAAGCACGTGTCCTTTTGGTCAACTGCCACCATATAGATAGATACCGAAAGTGTGACACCAAAGATATAAATAAAAGCACACTGGTAATTATTATATAGTGTAGATGGAATATTATACAAACTGAAAATTATAGTCAATTATTCTTAGTCAATAAAAATGAGAAAAATAAAATCAGACGTCTTCTTCGAAACCCAACGTATTTTTGTTTTCCGAAAACTTCTGCTTATCATTCATTTTAGTTCATTTCTTATTTGTAATTCAATTTAATTTCCATTTTGAGGGCCCCCCAAACCTAAAGTACCCCAGGCCCTCCAAGGTCTAAATTAGTCCCTGGCTCGCAAGACCCTATATCTTGCTCTTATACAATGTCATATGGACTACGCTTGCTCTTCATGGTACTCTGCCTTGACAAAAAAAAAAAAAATGGAAGAGTGACTACAAATCACCCAGAACAAAAATGGTAAGATTCATCCTGGACCTGGATCCAGGAGAGCATGTAGACCAGGATGAATTACAGCAGTTGAATATGTTGAATGTTGAAAACAGAGTAAACAGAAGTTAAATCAAGTTTATAAAACTGCTCACAGTGTCCGGAATATCTTGCTGCCAATTTTGTCAAGGCTGGGAACCAGAGCAATCATAGTATGTACTAAGGGGAGAGAGCACAACTTTTGTAAAACAATCTTCCTTTCATGTATAATACAAGTGGTAAAATAATCTGCCCTCATCGACACCATGCCCAGCCCTTCTAGGGCAGGGTAGGTGCCTGAGCCAGAGTTTGCAGCTCACAAGACTGTCATTCCCATTAGACCCCTTGGGGTGGGGATGGCAGTCCAGAGAGGCCTAGCTTCTCCCTACGAGCCCCATGAGGGCGGGGAATGTGACTAGGCCTGGGGACAGTTGGTCCCAACGATGAGGGGGTACTTGTGCCTCCTCCCATGGGAGACTTGGGTCTCAGACACTCCCTAGATAGGGAGCCAAGGCCGGGCCACCGCTTGGAAAAGGCCCGGGCCGGGAGAATGCCGGCGAATCGACAAGAAGAAGAAGAATCTGCCCTTCATGTAGAGTACTAATGGTATAATAATCTCCCCTCATGTAGAGTACTAGTGGTACAATAATCTCCCCTCATGTAGATTACTAGTGGTACAATAATCTCCCCTCATGTAGAGTACTAGTGGTACAATAATCTCCTCTCATGTAGAGTACTAGTAGTACAATAATCTCCCTCTGCGTGCTGCCAGCAGTAACAGCCTGGTTGATCAGGCCCTGATCCACCATGAGGCCTTATCACAGACCGGCCCGCGGAGACGTTGACCCCTGAAACCCTCTCCAGGTATACTCTCATGTAGAGTACTAGTGGTACAATAGTAGTGGAGTTGAGCGCCTCTGGTGGTGAGAGTGGTGGCCTTGAGAGAGGTTCCTTGAAGATGGTGGTGAGGGTCTCTTGATCCAAGGAATGTGATCTATTCCACTGAGAGTGAACTTATCCTCCCAGGTGGTCCATGACCCCCACGGGTTGAGCGCTCTACTAAGAGTAGTACCGAGAGTGAGGGTGTAGTAGTGCTATCTAGTGGTGGTAGTCAGAGTTAGTCAGGTTATCAGTGATGGTGTTATAGTGAAGGTCAGGACAGTGACCAACCTCAATGTCACTAAAAGTCAGTTAACCTTCAATAGTCATAGAGATGGGATGTGTTGCTCCTCCTCTTGCCACCCCCCCCCCCCGGCCGGCTTTACCGCTTCCTCTTCCTTTTAATACACGTAAATGAAGTAAGTATTGTTTGGTGACGTATTTGTCAGTACAACAGCAGAGTTGAGCTGCAGCTCCTGGTCCCCACCACCAGTTTGGTCACCAATTTATTAATATTTTAATAAGTCTTAATTTAATTTTCTTTGGTCTTAGAGGGGGCGGGGATGATTGACCTTAGTGGAGGGGTTTTGATGCGAGGGACTGGAGCTACTTCTCTTCCTCTGATCAAACAATAACTCTCACACTAGGCGTTACATAACTCACAATTTTGTATCTAGTTCTGGGCTATTTTTTTTTCAATGTTGAAAAATAACAGTGATAGTCTCTTCATCCAAGGAACTTGCACCTTGTGATCCAGATAAACTTCCATGTAAACAAATTGTTAGTCATCAGGTGAAAGAAATATTTACTGAAGAAAAAGATAGGTTTACCTACAATGTTAAACATTAATGGGTATAACAGTCCGGCAGTAATGCTACTAATTTATATTACATGGTAATGTTTGCCTGTAAATGTGTGTAATGTTCATAGTTATAATGTGAATGTTTTGTTTCACGTCTGTATAGTCCTTGTGGCTTAGCGCTTCTTTTTGATTATAATAATAATAATAATTTGTTTCAGGTGTGGTAACTGAGGATTGCTGTGCCTGGCTGTGTACTGCAACATTGATCAACACAGCAACCTTGACCAGTCTGAGGGGTGGAGACAACCACACTAGTAACATTTAATGTTATATGGAGACGTCGTTGAGGTGGGCAGGGCCCACTTATAAGGTATTTCCAGGTTATAAGTCCACTAAAGTTTGGTTATTGATGCAGACAGTAATTGTATTAAAAGGGGAAGGTGGTGGGGAGAGTATAGGAAAGATTGTAAGCAATCGATATCAAAAGTAACTTAGTGGGAAGTATTAACTTATCTCACGACCGGAGATGAAATCTATGGCCAGGAAATATTGAGGAATATATTCTATAGGTTACCTAAAATGGGATGGAAATAAAAATTGGAGAAATGGGTTGCAAACCCTAGAATTGAAAACTGATTATATTTTAGGAAGTTTTAGTTATTTATTATGTAGTCTATACCCATCCTGCAAGATTGTAGAAAAGTCATGTGGAAGTGATATATCATGGCTCAGTTGAAAAAACCATACCCCCGGCCGGGATTGAACCCGCGGTCATAGTCTCAAAACTCCAGCCCGTCGCGGGTTCAATCCCGGCCGGGGGTATGCTTTGTTTGCAATCGTGTCATTACGATTTCTTGAGTCATGGCTCAGTTGGTAGTGGCGTCAACTGAAGAACCGAGATTCGATCCCGGGCACAAGTGGGCATGTTCCCGTATATCCATTGACACTGTTCACATAAAGGAGGAACACTGCAGCAGGCCTACTGGTAGGGATCGTATCCTGAGGGAGTATAAATACCCTAAAAAAAAAGTCATAAATCTCTTCCTGACATAATTGTGTAATTCTGTGTTAATCTACCGGGTTAATAATTATCCTGATATAGTTTAGTGTGGTGAGGGTAATGGCAGAGGTCTTGATGTCGGGTGTAAGGAAAGCCTATTAAATCAGGCATATCCATTATTAAAACATAAACACGCTAAGATAACAGGGATATCTTGCTACTCCTACTTACACTTTGGTCACACTTCACAGACACGCACATGCATATATATATATACATACATCTAGGTTTTTCTCCTTTTTCTAAATAGCTCTTGTTCTTTTTTATTTCTTCTATTGTCCATGGGGAAGTGGAAAAGAATCTTTCCTCCGTAAGCCATGCGTGTCGTATGAGGCGACTAAAATGCCGGGAGCAATGGGCTAGTAACCCCTTCTCCTGTATACAATTACTAAAAAAGAGAAGAAGAAAAACTTTATAAAACTGGGTTGCTTAAATGTGCGTGGATGTAGTGCGGATGACAAGAAACAGATGATTGCTGATGTTATGAATGAAAAGAAGTTGGATGTCCTGGCCCTAAGCGAAACAAAGCTGAAGGGGGTAGGAGAGTTTCAGTGGGGGGAAATAAATGGGATTAAATCTGGAGTATCTGAGAGAGTTAGAGCAAAGGAAGGGGTAGCAGTAATGTTAAATGATCAGTTATGGAAGGAGAAAAGAGAATATGAATGTGTAAATTCAAGAATTATGTGGATTAAAGTAAAGGTTGGATGCGAGAAGTGGGTCATAATAAGCGTGTATGCACCTGGAGAAGAGAGGAATGCAGAGGAGAGAGAGAGATTTTGGGAGATGTTAAGTGAATGTATAGGAGCCTTTGAACCAAGTGAGAGAGTAATTGTGGTAGGGGACTTGAATGCTAAAGTAGGAGTAACTTTTAGAGAGGGTGTGGTAGGTAAGTTTGGGGTGCCTACTTTTCCCAGTAAAAGTAGGCCTTAGACAAGGATGTGTGATGTCACCGTGGTTGTTTAATATATTTATAGATGGGGTTGTAAGAGAAGTAAATGCGAGGGTCTTGGCAAGAGGCGTGGAGTTAAAAGATAAAGAATCACACACAAAGTGGGAGTTGTCACAGCTGCTCTTTGCTGATGACACTGTGCTCTTGGGAGATTCTGAAGAGAAGTTGCAGAGATTGGTGGATGAATTTGGTAGGGTGTGCAAAAGAAGAAAATTAAAGGTGAATACAGGAAAGAGTAAGGTTATGAGGATAACAAAAAGATTAGGTGATGAAAGATTGAATATCAGATTGGAGGGAGAGAGTATGGAGGTGAACGTATTCAGATATTTGGGAGTGGACGTGTCAGCAGATGGGTCTATGAAAGATGAGGTGAATCATAGAATTGATGAGGGAAAAAGAGTGAGTGGTGCACTTAGGAGTCTGTGGAGACAAAGAACTTTGTCCTTGGAGGCAAAGAGGGGAATGTATGAGAGTATAGTTTTTACCAACGCTCTTATATGGGTGTGAAGCATGGGTGATGAATGTTGCAGCGAGGAGAAGGCTGGAGGCAGTGGAGATGTCATGTCTGAGGGCAATGTGTGGTGTGAATATAATGCAGAGAATTCGTTAGTTTGGAAGTTAGGAGGAGGTGCGGGATTACCAAAACTGTTGTCCAGAGGGCTGAGGAAGGTTTGTTGAGGTGGTTCGACATGTAGAGAGAATGGAGCGAAACAGAATGACTTCAAGAGTGTATCAGTCTGTAGTGGAAGGAAGGCGGGGTAGGGGTCGGCCTAGGAAGGGTTGGAGGGAGGGGGTAAAGGAGGTTTTGTGTGCGAGGGGCTTGGACTTCCAGCAGGCATGCGTGAGCGTGTTTGATAGGAGTGAATGGAGACAAATGGTTTTTAATACTTGACGTGCTGTTGGAGTGTGAGCAAAGTAACATTTATGAAGGGATTCAGGGAAACCGGCAGGCCGGACTTGAGTCCTGGAGATGGGAAGTACAGTGCCTGCACTCTGAAGGAGGGGTGTTAATGTTGCAGTTTAAAAACTGTAGTGTAAAGCACCCTTCTGGCAAGACAGTGATGGAGTGAATGATGGTGAAAGTTTTTCTTTTTCGGGCCACCCTGCCTTGGTGGGAATCGGCCGGTGTGATAATAATAAAAAAAAATAATAAAGAAAGGAGCACTGAAGCAGGTCTATTGGCCCATGTTAGGCAAGTCCAACTCTCGACCACTCTTTTGTCTAACCTATTTTTAAAACTACACAGCCAAAGTTTTAGCCTCGCATAACGGGATAAATTTTCCTTAGGCAGGATATATTATAGCCAATAAATCTATGGAAAATTTTCTAGGGTGCTTACCTGTATGTACCTCAACATTATATACATACCAGTAATCTCATTGGGAGACAACCATATTGTTTACCGTAGTCACCCCGTGTAGACATGTGAGAAAACTTAACCACCCCTGGTCGCGGCAAGTGGTTCCTTCGACCTCACAATCTTATCCATATCTATCCGAGACCAGTATGGATTGGATAGCACCCACAAGTACGGTGCTACTAATTAATTGTGGACTGTATAGATTATATTAGTTTAGCTGAATGAAGGGGGGTTAGGATACACCTGGATACATCCATCAAGGAAAAACATTTGTACATAATCCCACCACTTACCAGATGTTCTCTGGTGGTCACTTGATGTAGCTGGATCACTCATAACCTATCCAATTACAACATAACCTAACTGGCCAGCATCAGTCTGTTATAACTAGAAGGGTTACTTAACTGTGGGTGATTGATACTCCTTATTTCCTCCATTCACCATCTCATTTCGATGTCCTGCTACACCGACACGGTTCTCATTCCAGCAGGACGAGGTATCCGTTGGTTTGTCCCGGTTTAGAAGTCGTGATTCCATAAAACTTCATTATCCTCGGTACGAATCACACATTCACTCGGAGCAGGGCGATCTATTTCACATCCCGCATTCTCTTAAAAAAAAAAATCTTAACTCAATGTTATTATCACTGATTACATTACCATTCACAAGACGATTTAACCTCTCATAATTATTATACACATTAGAGATCACTCCATTAAGATCTGAGACCGATGAGTGATGATTAAACCAAGGGTAATTTTCCCCAGGACACAGTCCATAGTGACGCGCCAGTCACCCGGTCCTACCCTTATTCACTCATTTTACCACTTTATTACGGTGGTCCCGTAAATCACGTTCCCTCACTCTCCACCAGGAACAGTTACGACACTTCCTATTATGAAATGAGGCCTATATTAATCCTTAGGCCGCCGTGAATGCCAATTTCGTGGTTCCATGCTTTCCCAGCCTCCTCACCACATTCAAAACACTCCCGCCTCCCCATGGCCCGAGTCCCCCTATACCCCCTGCACATCCGCGCATGCGCAAAGGGAACTCTTGGTTCTACCCTATTGTCAAATACATTTTTGACTCATATCGACACATTAAACACCTATTAGGCACTATACCTGGAGTTTACCTGGAGAGAGTTTCGGGGGTCAACGCCCCCGCGGCCCAGTCTGTGACCAGGCCTCCTGGTGGATCAGCGCCTGATCAACCAGGCTGTTGCTGCTGGCTGCACGCAAACCAACGTACGAGCCACAGCCCGGCTGATCAGGAACTGACTTTAGGTGCTTGTCCAGTGCCAGCTTGAAGACTGCCAGGGGTCTGTTGGTAATCCCCCTTATGTGTGCTGGGAGGCAGTTGAACAGTCTCGGGCCCCTGACACTTATTGTATGGTCTCTTAACGTGCTAGTGACACCCCTGCTTTTCATTGGGGGGATGGTGCATCGTCTGCCAAGTCTTTTGCTTTCGTAGTGAGTGATTTTCGTGTGCAAGTTCGGTACTAGTCCCTCTAGGATTTTCCAGGTGTATATAATCATGTATCTCTCCCTCCTGCTTCCAGGGAATACAGGTTTAGAAACCTCAAGCGCTCCCAGTAATTGAGGTGTTTTATCTCCGTTATGCGCGCCGTGAAAGTTCTCTGTACATTTTCTAGGTCGGCAATTTCACCTGCCTTGAAAGGTGCTGTTAGAATGCAGCAATATTCCAGCCTAGATAGAACAAGTGACCTGAAGAGTGTCATCATGGGCTTGGCCTCCCTAGTTTTGAAGGTTCTCATTATCCATCCTGTCATTTTTCTAGCAGATGCGATTGATACAATGTTATGGTCCTTGAAGGTGAGATCCTCCGACATAATCACTCCCAGGTCTTTGACGTTGGTGTTTCGCTCTATTTTGTGGCCAGAATTTGTTTTGTACTCTGCATTATGTACTATCTGCATTATGAATGCATATAGCAGGGGAGAGTAATCTCCCCCGAAGACATAGATTACGTAGAACTGTTGGCCTTGGAACCCACCAACGACCTTCAGAAGCTGTGTGGAATCTGTTATTGCACGTGGTTTCTGTGGGAATGTTGGTGGGTTTCGGGCTTTGGGTAGTGGTTGTGGTGGGTGTTCTACGTATTTTATGCCTTTGGCTAAACTGTGCGAAGTTAAATATTAATTCATTGAGTTTACACAATTTCATTATTTTGTTAAATTTAAGCGGCGTTCAGGTTCCTATGAATATAAAAGTATTAGCATTCAGAATTGCAGTTGGTTTGTAAGTAGTGAAGTCTAACGCTTCTGGCAGCAGACGTTAATGATGAACATAATGAAATCCTGTGATCTGAAGTGAAGTGTTAGTCGGCAGAAAGGATTCGCTAACATCTGATGCTGATGAGTATAGTCAGGGGGGTGAGTTAGATTGGTATTAGTGAGAAATGATTATTAACCCTGCTGGGTTAGAAACCCAGAAAAAGAGATAGTGTGGGGGCTTGAATGTAATGGTCCTCAGGTTGTGCCTAGGATGCCAGCCATAAGTAACAGGTAAAGGTAGGTTATGAATTCAGGCTAGCATAGTAGTGTGTGTTAGGACACTGGTATACGGCAGGCCTCCAACTGGTTAGATAACCCAGTGTTGGTTGTTAGTCTAGTGTGCTATAAGGGACGTGGAAGTGGAGGGGAAAAACGATGTCTTAATGATCCTAACTACCTTCATATTAGATTCGGATGCCCTTCAAGGGTGTCTTTGTACTAGTGAAGGCATCTTGTTGCAAGTACCCTCCCCTTCCTTGGATCAAATCTGATTGCCTAACATTCCCCTAACTGTGTATAACCCCATCTATATCTAGTTATGGGAATTTTTATTTGGGTAAATGTGCACGTATGTAACAAATTGTTTGAATGGGGGGGGGGGGGTAAACACTCTGGACAGGTCGATGAAAGTCACTCAAGTTTGATTGAGGAGGGTAGTGCAAGTTGACTTTATTACATTTTTTCCAGTTAAATATAGGCATCTAAGGGATATTAGGAGTAGGTTTGGCTAGGTTGTATGTTACGAAATTTACCCTCCAACTTGTTTAATCGCCACAGAATCCTCCTGACAAACAAGACTGGAGACAAGAGGTGATCATAATTACCTGTGTTAGACACATGCATAACACTTCCGCGTCCACTGCCCAGTGTCGCAACACTTCGCATAGCTTCCTGACAATACAAACACAAGGTCATGAAATTTAAAAAGGTATCACACCTCAAACTACTAATAATGGCAGTATTGAGGCTATCCGCCTCATTACTACTATTGTTAGTAGGGTTGGGGTAGATATTTTTTTTCTCCGAGCTTAAAGCTCCCGAATTGTGTGAAAGTTGTCCTCCTGCTAACAGATACAGCAGTTAAGGCTTGTCTCAAGGTTATTTCCTTTTTTTCTATTTCATGTGTGTAGAAATAGAAATAGATATGATTTTGATTGGCTTCACGATGAAAAGTACCTTGAAATTGAGCTCAAAGTAGCGAAATGTTCGATTTTTTGCCAATGTTTAGGAGTAACCAAATGACGTCACCATCCAATACCTGTCCGATTGGCACTGCCCCTCAACCTTCACATATTGGAAAGCTCTTCAACACGCTAGCAAAAGTGGGAGCAGACTTCATGAGGTAGCAGCGGCAGACAACATGAAGCAGCGGCGGCCAAGTGTAGCATTAAGAGTGTAGCACTTATAAGTCACTCTTGACATTTTTGGGTTATCCTAGGTTCTTTATACATGCAGTCAGGAGCAGGAATGGCCACTGTGGTGGCCCTATAAACCCCAACACCGACAATGGCCGCTGCCACCACCACTAGCCACATACGTAATGACGTGTATTTTATTAATTTAGTGTATTTATCATGTTTGTTTTTAATATTGTTTATTATGTCATATTACATTTATTGATAGATAAATAAGCCATAGAGTTGATATTAGGGAAATTATTGAAGTATTTTCTCGTGCTTGGAATTCCACTGGAACGAATTAATTCCATTTCATTTAATTTAAATGAGGAAAATTGACTGCAAACGAGCAAATCCGGATGTGAGCAAAGTCATGGAATGGAAAAAACTCGTAAGTAGAGTTACACTGTTTTTGTTTTCCTCAGACCTAGTATGCCACGGAAAATTCAGTTGTAAGGAGCTCAGAAAAGAAAGATTTCCAAAAAGTCAAGCTAAAGAAAATGTTGCGGTCTTGGCAAAGACAAAATGCCTTACAGAATTTTTCTCTACTTCTGTAGTGGAAAACATAAAGCTACTAATGAAGAACCAGTACCACTACCAGATGATTCTTCTGAGGACCCACCTGCATTCCCAAGTACATCTGCAGAAAATAAAAAAAACATACCAAATCAAAATAGTAAAGAGGATGAATCACCACAACCACATTCTACAGATACTTGTGTAGACATGGACAGTGTCTTCCTTTGCAGATGACACCCGAATCTGCATGACAGTGTCTTCCATTGCAGACACTGCAAAGCTCCAGGCAGACATCAACCAAATCTTTCAGTGGGCTGCAGAAAACAATATGAAGTTCAACGATGAGAAATTTCAATTACTCAGATATGGTAAACATGAGGAAATTAAATCTTCATCAGAGTATAAAACAAATTCTGGCCACAAAATAGAGCGAAACACCAACGTCAAAGACCTGGGAGTGATCATGTCGGAGGATCTCGCCTTCAAGGACCATAACATTGTATCAATCGCATCTGCTAGAAAAATGACAGGATGGATAATGAGAACCTTCAAAACGAGGGATGCCAAGCCCATGATGACACTCTTCAGGTCACTTGTTCTATCTAGGCTGGAATATTGCTGCACACTAACAGCACCTTTCAAGGCAGGTGAAATTGCTGACCTAGAAAATGTACAGAGAACCTTCACGGCGCGCATAACGGAGATAAAACACCTCAATTACTGGGAGCGCTTGAGGTTCCTGAACCTGTATTCCCTGGAACGCAGGCGGGAGAGATGCATGATTATATACACCTGGAAAATCCTAGAGGGACTAGTACCGAACTTGCACACGAAAATCACTCACTACGAAAGCAAAAGACTTGGCAGACGATGCAACATCCCCCCCAATGAAAAGCAGGGGTGTCACTAGCACGTTAAGAGACCATACAATAAGTGTCAGGGGCTCGAGACTGTTCAACTGCCTCCCAGCATACATAAGGGGGATTACCAACAGACCCCTGGCAGTCTTCAAGCTGGCACTGGACAAGCACCTAAAGTCGGTTCCTGATCAGCCGGGCTGTGGCTCGTACGTTGGATTGCGTGCAGCCAGCAGTAACAGCCTGGTTGATCAGGCTCTGATCCACCAGGCCTGGTCACAGACTGGGCCGCGGGGGCGTTGACCCCCGGAACTCTCTCCAGGTAAACTCCAGGAAGCCCCACCATGTGATTCAGACCCAACCATGTGGTTTTCTTTCAGAGAAAAGCATGTGTCCTTTTGGTCAACTGCCACCATATAGATAGATACCGAAAGTGTTACACCAAAAATATAAATACACATCGGTAATATTTTGCAAACTGAAAATTATGTTATTCTTAAAGTCAAAATTGAGATAAATGAAATCAAACGTCTTCGAAAACTAACATTTTTTTTTTTTCGAAAACTGCTGTTTATCGTTTATTTTAGTTCATTTCTTATTTGTAATTATATTTAATTTCCATGTTGAGGGCCCCTCAAACCTGAAGTGCCCCAGGGCCCCCAAGGTCTAAATCCGGCCCTGCATTAGAGTATATTACGTAATTTAAATTGTTTTTTTTTTCTTATATTCTGTACATCCCGTAATATGGTTCTGATAAACTGGTGACAGAGAGGAAGCGTTCATGTCATAATTCTTGTGGTAAGTAGAGACCTGGTGCTGACACTGAGGGAAAGTGGGGTGATGCAAGGATTTGTAGTGTCCTTTCGACCTACAGATCAAATCATAATACCTCCCATTTCCCAAATGTTGTATGTGCATTAAGTGCTTACCCATAATTTTAATAATTCAGGGGATGAAGAAATAAGGAAATGCTCCAATAGAGAGGGTGGGGTCAAGGTGGTGGGGACAGAAGAGGTTCCGGTATATGGAAAAAAATAAGATAAACGCTCCAACAGAGGAAAGAGAAGGTGAGAGAAGAGGAATAGGAAGGATCTGAATAATGTATTACCGATAATATTGAATAAATGAAACGTGGTACAGATTTTGTTGCAGATTACGTGTTGCTCTTAGATTATTTGATAAAGCTTTGAACAGCCAAACGTTGTCTTAATGAAACTTTTTTTCAGTGCCTCTTAAACTTTATGAAAGAGGCTCCAGTTGAGACTAGCCGAGGAAGAGTAAGGGGAAGAGGGGGGTGGTTGTAGCTCCATTGATAGAGTAAGGAAGGCAGTCTAAAGTAATATGGTCGTACCCTGACGATGTTGATAAGGTATCGAGCTCGGTAATTGTCTGACCACTCATAAATTGTGCAGTCCGTCTTAGTTGTTTATTATTGTATATTACTGTAGTTTAGATATAAATAACTGTGTGGCTCAGATAAGTTGCAGACTGGCACAATTTATGATATAAAGACGTAAGCATCCTGACTTTGACATCTGAAACCAAAATTTATTCCTGTCGGCATTATGAGCTAGTGTTTACGGAGGGTGGAGAGTGATCCTTCTGACTTTTTTTTCTGTTCACACTTTCATACATGTTATTAGAATAAAATACAAAAAAAGAAACAAGTGAATTTTAATTTTTATTAGCAACTAAAGCATTGGTGGATAAAATAAGGGATTAACAGAGGAAATGCCGAAACCCATACAACCCATTAATAACTAGCTTGGATAATGCATTTGCCTGATGTGAGGCAATGGACTGGTGCTGTCTTGATCTTTCTTTTGGCCACTTGACTGAAATTTTCTATCTTGAAAAGTTTGTCTTGGTGTTTTGGCCTTAATAAGGATGAACAAAAATTCCATTTTCAAGAGCCTTTGCTGCGTCATTGTGTTGTGTCTACTAGCAAATTTGGAGACCCTTAGTTTTAATGTTGTCTTGGCCAGCTATCTGGGGAAATCTTTGTCTTGAGTTATGTTGTCTTGATATTTTGGCCAGTTGGTTGCAGAGAGAAAAATATTCTTTAGTGTTGTTTTTCTGCACTAAATGTCAACAGTGATAAAGAAATGTCTTAGTTCTGTTCATGGATGCTGATGTTGGAGACGTAAAGATTCGATCAAGAATAGTTCATAGTGGTAAAAAAATCCGCCAAGGAACTTCGATTCGATATATTTTTTAATGCTTATTTTTGTTCTGTTATATTTTGGGACAATAACTGAAAGCTCGTCCTTCAACCTTGGAGAGAGAGAGAGAGAGAGAGAGAGAGAGAGAGAGAGAGAGAGAGAGAGAGAGAGAGAGAGAGAGAGAGAGAGAGAGAGAGTGTGTGAGTGTGTGAGTGTGTGAGTGTGTGAGTGTGTGAGTGTGTGTGTGTGTGTGTGTGTGTGAGTGTGTGTGTGTGTGTGTGTGTGTGTGTACACCCAAGTTTTCACGGAAGATGGGTGTATATAACGTGTAATGCATGGGTGTTTTAAGTGACTAGCATTAGGTTTCCTTACAGATATATGTCTGCATGAGCAACCAGTATGAGGTCCCCTATCAAAGTAAGTGTCTGACCCGTATGAGGTTCCCTTGCAGTTGTGGGTATTTGTATAAATGACTTATTATAAGGCCCATTTCTAGCTGTGAGGAATGTTCATTCTGGTGTTAGTTTTCAGTGTTAGGATGTAGGTACGATTACCCAGGCCGCGATATATTTGTTACCCAACAACTAGGTGTAAAGTTACACATGAGTGACCAATATGAGGAAAGCTACCTAGGCTTGTCAGTGTCTAGTGTGAGGTTCTGTACCGTGTTTCAGCCAGGTGGAGTAAATGATCAGTTTGCTTTTGAAACAATGTATAGTGTGAGGTACATTTGAGGCGCGTTTTACAGCAGTACCAAAATGTCTACTGTATAAGTTCTCCACAACCTCGTTGTTTACCGTTCATCTGTTGTGCTGTAAGGCAGCTTGGTTGTTACTTGGACGTAGTGGCCGATGACGTGGACGACGATGACGTACTCAACGAGGCAGGCGACGGTGAAAACGACGGTGGTGAGCGGGTAGTGTTTCAAATCGCGTGGTTGAAAGTCTCGAGATTGTCATAAGACGTCGAAGAACGAGCCGACGACTCAGACCTGCGCCTCGGTGTTTGTGTGTATGTTAGGTAAGGCAGGAAGGAAGGTTGTTGGAGAGTGATGGTCTACTGCCGCGGCGGGTACACGTAGTAGTTGAACACATTCTCATAGTGTTCGTAGCGACTGGACTGCTGCTGCGGTTCGCCACACTTGCGGATGTAGTCTTCACACTCCTCGAAGGTTGCGGCGCCCTTCTCAATGCGCTCGCCAATGCCGGACTTGAAGGAGGCGTATCGCTGGGGGTAGGGAGACACACACATGAAGAAAGTGACCAAGCAAACACAGGATTAAAAATACTAATCGTATAACGGCATTTGAGTAAACACTGATCAGACAAACAGAACAAATGTTAACCTTAGTAAAATAAATGTAGAAATCTGTTCATGCTGAAAAAGCATGACAGTCTGTGTTGATTTGATATTTTTATAGATTCTGCAAACTGGAAAAGCTATTAAAGGTACCCTTCCATGAAGTAGGAAGGGGCGGAATCCCTCGATCCTAGCTAAGGGCTCTTGATCCAAGGAATTAAGTGATACTTTCGCTTTCCTTGGATCAAACCCGATTACCTGCTATTCCGTAGGCTCTGTACGACCCTTATGGCTTTAGTGCTTTCCTATGAATATTAGTTTTGATGGTACACATTAATGCTCTTTGGGAAAATAGGCTAATATGTATATACGTACTCTCGTTCAAAAGTGTAGTTTTGTACTTCGTTAAATTGTTGTATAAAAATTTTGAATAAATCTTTTTAATGAAGGCAGTACAGCAGATAGCGAACACTCACCTGCTGGATGGAACGAGCAAAGCAGCCGTCAGAAATCATACGAGCAGCGTTCTTGAGTGCTCGGGCGAAGGTGTCCATGGCCAGGATGTGACCGTGGAACAGGTCGCGAGGCTCCACGGACTCGCGACGAACCCGACCTCCAAGAGTGAACCCGCCCTGCTGCAGGCCACTCTGTAGATGGGAAATAGCGAGTGTGCAAATTACTATATTCATTTTATCATGCGCCATGTTTTGCCTGCCTCCAGTGCTAGTCAGACTATACACCTAATTATATTAGGCTACCCTGTGTGTTAAGGGATTAACTTAAATAGGTACCTTTTACATCAACACAATAGTACTGACTATTTAGGTTATCCTGGATTAATAACCCTTCTGGATTAGTAATCCTACTGGTTTAAAAATCTTCCAGGGTTAATAACCATAAATGTCTCCTAAATCATAGTTTGTCCCCTCTGGTCTGGGTCTCTGTGAGTATGGTGAAGGACGACCCAGTTGTTAGTTCCCATACTTGTCACGAAACAAGGGTATATATTTTTTTTATAATAAAATTTCTCTAATTACACTAAAAATGTTTTTTTTTATAACTAATAATAATGAGAGTTTTTATGACTGTAAGCTAACGTTTCGGAAATATGAAGAAATTATAACCAGAATAGATTTCGAATAAATTTAGTTTGAAATTTTTTAAGTTTCTTCAAACGCTTAACATAAACTTTTTTGTCACTCTTGTACCCATGTATAACAGCCATAAACTTGGAGAGACATTTTAATTTTTTGCCCATAAACATTAAGATTAGAGAAAATTTGAAAATGACAGATTATTACAGTAGTAAGAGGCTTGCATCTCCACTAGCTACCCTGAGACCACTTACCTGCTCCAGCACACACTTCATGACGTAGGTAGCGTCACGGATGTTGCGAGCGCAGATGTCTGAGGTACCGTTCACTTCCGGGAAGCTGTCAGAGGCATCGACAGAGCCGAGCATGTTGTAAGCAGCGGCTATGTAGACATCGTGCTCGTAGGGACGCCCCATGAGGCGGGAGAAGGCGGGCTTGATGTACAACTTGTACTGCTTCTCCAGACCGAAGTGTCGGAGCATGTGCATGGTAGCCATGGCGTCTGCCTCGTACTGGTGACGGCGAGGGTCGGATGGCTTGGGCTGGATCAGCAGCTGACCCTTGTAGCCGATCTTGTCCTTGTACTGCGCAGCCATGCGATATAGCTGTGCCATATGAGACATGTCCCGGAAGAACTGGCGCTGCAGAACGCTCTGGTAACCGTCCCGAGGGTTGAAGAACACGAAGTTCTCAGCGCCCAGGCGCTTGGCCGCCTCCAGACTGCGCTTTACTTGTGCACATGCATAGGCGAACACGTGAGCGTCAGGATTGGCTCCTGCGCCGTTCATGTAGCGAGGGTGAGTAAAGAGGTCAGCACTATAGTAGAGTGGCTTAATCCCAGTCTGCCTCTGGAGGTCGCAGGCTTGCGTTACCATCTCTTCCAGGTAGCTGTTGGTTTCCTCGAAGCTATCTCCTTCGGGGGCCATGTCACGGTCACTCACCTGAGGCACATACCACGTATAAAAAAATAAACTACGCACCCTTATCCCTTCCACGTTATGAGAATAACATTCCAACCAAACATTTTAATACATTACTATGATCAGGAAATTTAATTAACACGCTTTCTTGTTTCTTCGTAATGAAAGACATGGAGCTTGGGTTACATACTGAGTAGAACTTGACGTTGAGTTTGTGGAAGAACTCAAAGGCGGCAGTCATGCGACGCTTGTAGTTATCCAGAGACCTGGAGCCATCCTCCCACTGGTGCTGGTGGGCCCTCTCGCCGTAGTGACCTTCTGAACCGAAGTACCTGAACCATGACTCGTTAGCATTATTATTATTATTATTATTATTTAACACACTTTCTAATATAGCTTTATAAAATCTGAACCATATCTGAAACCTATATTCCATAATATAAATTATAATTTATATGGTTTAATATAGTAGGATCTTTCAACGCTCATCCACACTCGGGATGAAAAATTTTCCCTTGTATATAATCCTCATGACAAAAGTTAAGGGGGTGGGGGTGCAAACAGTGCACACTGGAATATAATGAGGGAAAGGCTAAACTCATAAGACTCTTTGGGATTCGGAGGCAATCACGTTCGATCGTCATTTTTTTTTTTTTACCGACATGAGGTTACTCCCTTAAAGGGAATTCAGTGGAGCCGTGCTTGATGCTCTATAGCTCTTTAATGAACAGTAAGAGGCATCACGGCTGACGGTAATGAGGTGGAAGTTTAGCCATCAATGTCAACGGAGATGTGTGCATTGAAGAGGAAGCTACAGTTAAATACACTCTGAGCAGGGGAACTGTATTACAATTATGGGTTTAGTTCTTCCCCATGAAAAATGAACAGGGGGAAATGGAAGACTGCAATTTAATACGTAAAGATTTGTTATAGCTACGAAAACTGGAAGAATTCATTGTCGAGGAAAAAATCGCCGTGATGACAAACTATTAAATCATACCATATCCATGGCAGGAATCCTTAAAAACACTAGGCTAACCACTCTGTGATTTGTTTGCAATCGTGTTACGATATCGTTAATAAAGACAGGCTGATGGGCCGATGATCAGGGAAATTACAATATTTAAGGAGCTTCAAGAGCTTTTCATTGGGGAAACATTAATTTTTTTTAAATATTTAGTGAGTAATAGTGCGATAGTTAAAAATGATAGATGAACTAATTAAATCAATGCACGTTTCCAAGAGAAGGGAAAAACTTTAGGGGGGAGAGAGAGAGAAATAGATATGGAGATGGAGAGATGATACAGTAGGAGAGGCAATAATGATACCTTTAGCATACTAGGAGGCAAACCACCTAGCTCATAGGACTTCATGCTACTTAATATACGTGAAGTTTTGTGACCTGATTTCATTGAGAAAAAGCATGGCTGACGAGAAACATGAGGATCTGGATGCTGGAATCTTTCACAATATAAATGGAAGAGTAAAACGTGTCGAAAGGTTAGGCTGTTTCATTCAGAGAAACGTTTAAACGTCTTTTAGCTTAGGAACAAAAAGTTTCAAAGGAAATACAGTAGGTGACGTTCCATGTAAGAGAAGTCAAATGGCACTGAAGTTACTTGAATATGAAGCTATTACAGCTTTCCAAGAACAAGTAAGGTACATTATTTTCAATAGTAGTGGCACGGCTGGTTCGAATACCATATAAAAATAGCTAATCTACAAAAAACGTTAATTTTTATTTTTTACTTGCTAAAATTTACTAACGTATGCGCCTGTAATTCTCTACACGGCTGCCCGAGTGTGTGCGCGTAAATGAGCACACTTGTCAGAGCAAGTTTCACACTCCGATAGGAAATGATCATGTATATATTTAAGCTATATGGGAAAAAAATAAAAATGTATCTTGTAATAGTCGGCTAAAGGGAATATTTAGATCACAATATTCAGTTGTCATTGTGTTCAAGATGCAGCACATAAACACAAGATTTAATCAACAGATGTCACCCGAAGATGTCACTCCTTGGTACAAACGCCACTTGTCTAAAGAGTGTCAAAACTTCCCTCTCCAGGGAAAGAGAAGTTGCATAACTCTTCGAAAAGGTGCCTCTCCCTAGGAAAGGATGGACCAACTTGGACAAAGAGCGTTACTCACCTGAAGGTGTTGAAGTAGCAGACGGAGAAGCGGAGCCACTCCTCCATGGAGCGGCCGTGGACGGTCTCGCCGGCGTTGTAGTGCCGGAAGACGAGTGTGTCCTCAGGGCCAGCATCCGGCCGGTACTCCACCCGCCCGATTCCAGGGAAGTACTTGTTCATGATGGCTGATGTGGCGGCGGCTGACGGCGGCTGCTGACGGAGGCGTGGCTAAGCGACGGTGCTGCTTCCTCACCCTGCCTTTGCCACCGTAGGTCTCCAGTTATATACTCGACGCCGTGCTCCGTAGACCATGTCCCCCACCGGTTTCGACACCGGATACCCGACACGCCACGCCTATCACAGACCAGCTCCTCGCTCAGCAAATCCAAGCACCCTTTCCCGGCACCTAGGTCCGTCCCTAACAATAGCAAGAGCTTGTACCCCTGGCCCTGACTCTCAAAATTCCACATTCATCTGAGATTTCCTGGACCCTAGAGACGAGAGCAATTTCCAAAAGCTGTCGGCCAGTTACAGTAACATCACACATCATAAAAATATTTAAAATTGTGCCAGGAAATCAAATTATCAGTTTTACTGCTGTATAATCCTACGGGTTTAGCGCTTCCCCTTGATTATAATAATAATAATAATCAGTTTTACTGAGAACCACGTATTTCATAGCATGGGACAACATCGCTTTAGATGAGAAGATCAGCTCTTTAACCCCTAATATATACTACAAACGTCAGAAAAAATAACACAGGAAGGGTTACCTCGCACTGGAATCTCATTTTGAGCTGAAGACATCGTAAAGTTTTCCATTAAAAGGTTCATCAGCTACGGGAGCTTCAAAGGTTTCGTTCCAATATTGCTGAATTTTCTGTTATTTGGGAATCGCCTATACCTTAAGCAGCAAAACTGAGATAAAAAAAAAAGAGAATTATAAAGATAAATTTAGAAGCTATGTCTAAACACGCACATGTGTATAATTCAAATTCATTATATGCCACAGAATGCATACTTGCATTAGTGTTATGACAACCAACCTGAGCATCATGAACTGGCTCGCTTATCCATTACCGTCTTAAGAACAAGCACCAAGTTTGTCAGCAGAGTGAATACAAGGGGAGAGATGCTTACTGGGTGAAGTAAAGGCATGTTTGCCGAGCAAGCTTTTATTGTGACATTTTACTTTTTGATAAGCGAAATGCCTTCGCGGTTATCACTAGACATCTTTCCATAATGCGAAACTGTCTCAATGAATGCCGTTTACTCCATGTCACCAGAGGTTGGGTAGTGATCGTAGGGATGGAAAAATGAGATCGTAGCGTGACGCTGACAGTACCTTTGTTACCCAAGTCACCTGTATGAAACCTGTTTTGGAGCAACTGGGATCCCTATTTCGTTGTCCAAGTGGTCCTTTATGTGGTCTCAGTGATGAAAGCCGCGAACATTGCCTTTGCCTCTGCAAGCATGTCCACGGATGAAAGGTATTTTGTTGTTGCTGGCTTGACCCGTAGATTTGCAAGAGAATGTCATCGGGACTGGTGGTATTGTTGGTACTGGGGGGGGGGATTTTTTTTCCGGCATTAGTCATCTGTTGGTTTGGAGTGGAGGCCATCGCTGTGGTTCCACTCCAGGAATGGACTGGATTTTGGTGTACGATTTTCTGCCATTTCCTGCCACAGTTTTTTCCTTCGGGCACTAAAAAACCTCTCCTCTTGAGTGGGCTGTGTGGCTAACCCAGGTTTTCCCATGCTGGGATGTTTTGTAATCTTTTTTTCCCCTTTTAGGTAGTGTGCCTGGAAAATTTAAGGTTATTAGCACAGTCTTTCATGTACTGAGAAGGTACACATTTCAGGCCGTGCGAAAAAGCTTACAGGAGGGAGTTTGCTTTTCCTGTTGGTCATATGGGCACGGCATTTCTAGGGTGGGTCATAGTTGCCACGTCCCATTTGTTTTTCCAGATTTCCCATGTATGCAGATACCAAGTGCCTTAAGTATGTTGCACAGGCTTGGTATTCCGTTTGCCTTGGGTTTCTGTGACTGTATTCCCTGTTGGTGCATGTTTACCCTGTCTTATTCCTATCCTCCCTAGCACCAACAATGGAGCTCCCACCATTGTTTTTGTAATATATCCTCATATTGCCAGTGGAGTCTATTGTTTGATATTTCTGTTGGTATTTCTAGTTTGCAATATTGGTTTTATCTTATTCTTTGATACACTTGTTTCCCCACTACGGTCCTGTTCCCCCCATGAGCTCATTTAATGCATTCTTCTGCGTTTAATTCCCGACTCCTGGACAAACATCTCCAGTCATTCACCATTACTGTCTTCCCAGGGACAGCACCTCCAGCTTCACCATTATTGTCTCCAGGACAGCACCTCCAGCTTCACCATTACTGTCTCCCAGGAAGCACTATCAGCCTCACATTTATGAATACAAGGACATAACCTCCAAGCCTTACAGTTTTGACTTTACTTGGCCGCCATCAAGGGCGTACCCATTCAGCCCAGACTTTTATTGTTCCATCTGTTGTTAGAAAGCTTCCAGGTTGTATGAAGCAGCTTTGATGTTATCCTCTTTTAATTACCATTGTGATTTTAGTCCAAGATTTATATCATTTGGGCATACCCAAAAATACACTTCCCTGTTTTAATACTGCTTGTAGGCTAGTTCTTGGATATCTGCACAAGGGGCGTGACACCAATTTCCACAAAAATGACAATTTATCCATGTGGGAAGCCCGTTTGTTTGATTGATTGCAGACTGACACAGGGCTTATATGATTTGAATGGTTTTTACTGTAATTCTACTAGCAACCTCTTGAATACTCTATTATAACCTCCTTAAATGAAGCTCTCGCTATTTGTATTTCTTTTCGAACTGTTACTTGTATATTAGGGACAGCTTACCGGGAGTCACCGCTCCTGTTTTATATTTATTGTTTGTGTTTGGATAAGGGCCGCCTGCAACCCATCG